GTGTATACGAATCAGGGGTGGGCAGTATCGCGATACAAATGTATCGCGATAGTATCTTAGAGATACTTTCGAGTATCTGTATATCTGTATCGATATACATTTGTAAAATATATTTTTATCTTAGTAGCGAAATACATTTATAATGTATTGCTTGCACGTTGTACATTGCCTGACTTAAGCACCCCGTTACACTTGTTGCCCTTTTAGAGCACAGCTATTAGGTGCCCGTTTCTGGCTTGAGCGGCGTTGCCGTTGCTGTAACCGTGAGGTCACGTGACCCCAAGGTCACGTGACCCCCCCAGGTCATGTGACTCCTCCAGGTCACATGACCCCCCAGGTCACTTGACCCCCCCAAGTCACGTGACCCCCAGGTCACGTGTCCCCCCAGCTCCCGTGTCCCCCCCAGGTCACGTGTCCCCCCCAGGTCACGTGTCCCCCCCAGGTCACGTGTCCCCCCAGGTTACGTGTCCCCCCAGGTCACGTAACCCCCCAGGTCACGTGACTCCTCCAGATCACGTGACCCCCCATGTCACGTGACCGCCCCATGTCACTTGACCCCCCCAGGTCACGTGACCCCCCCAGGTCACGTGACTCCTCCAGGTCACGTGACTCCTCCAGGTCACAAGGCCTGGGGGTCACGTGGCCTGGGGGTCACGTGACCTCCCCAGGTCACTCGACCCCCCCAGGTCACATGACTCTCCCCCAGGTGACGTGACCCCCCCCAGGTTACGTGACCTCCCAGGTCCGGGGGTCATGTGACCCCCTCCCCTGCCCCTTTGAGATCACGTGACTCCCGTCAGGGGAGGAGGAGAAAGGAGGGGAGCAGGGAGGATGAGCAGGGGGGACGAATCCGAATTTTCATTACTCCGAAAAATGATTTTAAAAGATTCTTATCTTTTGTTTGTCGGCCGGCTTCGAACCGGAACCCTTTCGTTCAGGAGTAGCAGGCAGGATCACGAGGGAGGGGGAGAAATACACCCCCCTCCCTTTCCCTCCTCCTCCTCAAGAGCTGCGCTCCAATTCGGTGTTACAGGGAGTTGTAAACGACTTTCATTTTTTAAGATAAATTAAAAAAATTAAAACATCCGTTCGGTGCAACTTGCTTCGAATTTATAATATGAACCTGCCCTATAACATTACCCATCTCAGTCACCAACAATGAAAAAAAAAATTGTAGTTTACAGAAGGTTACTTGAAAGAATAACAAACTCAGCTCCTCTGACAAAGCCCTCCACTCTTTCCAATTTAGCGGGGCGAACGCTGTAAAGGACTTGAGTGGAGAAAAGGTATGGCCCTGTTGTCCAATCTCCCTACACTATGGGTGACTCAGAATCTTATAATGCGACAGTTTGAGATGCGCCCTCACGGCAAAACAGGGCTCATTTCAGGCGGAAGGCTTTTTGTCAAGCGTGGTACGCAGTCTTTACCGTTCTGTAACTATGTGGTTCAATGGGGGTGACATGTTTTTTTAGCGGAATTAATGATAGATAGTTTGAGATAATGGACAGTGCATAAAATGGCACAAAAAGAGGAGCACAAGCATAAATTACCTTTCACATTCACCACAAACTGCACCCTCTCCACGTAGCACCGTTTGGGAACAAATGTATCTCTATGAGTATCTGTATTTGTATTCTGGAATACTTTTTCGCCCTTATTGCGGAAGTATCTCAGGGATATCCCGTTGCATAAAAGACAAATGTATCTTAGTATTTGCATTTTGGCCTTAAAACACATGTATCTCAGTATTTGTATTTTGGCCTTAAAACACATGTATTTCAGTATTTCTATTCCCCAATACTTTTTGGAGTGTGTCTGCCCAGCCCTGATACGAATACATTCTATAGGAAGTTCGTAACGACAGGCAGAACAAACGTATGGCCGTATGGAAGTATCGCAACCAGAGGCGTTGATTCGTCGAGCTCAATATTTTGCGTGCGCCGACGACATTTTTGCCTGTTTTCATAACAGAAGTAGCCTTTGCAACTCCCTGCGAAGGGCTGGATCGCGTTGGATCGCTTTGAACAGCAGCGCTGATGTGTACAGTCACTCGCTTTTTGTTTAACAATCTTGTCCAGACTTTTTCAATACCGGAGTCAAATAAAAGCTATCATGCTCGGCATCGTCTGCTTCCATTTTATTCGGAGATCGTCTGGCACAGGGGAGGAAGTGGAAATGCGTAAAAGCAGCTAAAAAGCTGTTTTTTGGGGGTTTTTTTTTTTTCCGTTTAGTAGGCGCTTTGAGGACTCCGACTCGAGTTATTCCATTTGGAGTAACTCGAGTCGGGAGCTGCTACTGAACGCGCCCAATGGGAACCAACGGGAACCAATAGGAACCAATGGGAACCATTTGGAACAATTCCAATTGGTGAGACCCGTTGGCCAGCGTGCTTCCAGTTGGAACCCACTACAACCAATTGGTTCCTGTTAAAACCAGTTGGAATTCCAATTGGATTTAATAAGAACTTTCAGCTGAGTAATGGTCTAATAAAGAAGGGGCACCAGGCTACACAGAGACCATGGACCAAGTTCCTATGCCTCGGCCGACAGACGCACTTGGAATGCCTCCAAGCGGCCCGTGGTCAAGTGGGGCTTCACAACAGATGCCCACAACGCTCAGAGTCGGCTGATTAGGTCGCACACGGGTCAGTTCCACTGGCTCCAGAGGCAACACAAGATAAACCAGACCCCCATTGCAGCCAACTTTCTTGAGTTTAGTTTGCTTTTGTTTGTTAGAAGATTCTCAGGGCCCAGTGAGCTTTTCATGATAGCTCGCTTACAGTTTCGGAACAAAGGCATAAACGGAACTCCTTTATTTATGAGCCCTCGCGCTGCACACGCGCTCCCGCTCGCCGTCCTCCTTTCGCGCACACCTCTCGCCCAGTCCCCCCACAGCCACGCATCCCGCGCGCCATCTCTCGAGTCTCGCAGAAGGCGTCCTCGCGATGCCGCTGTGGTGGCGAGGCATGCAACTGCATACCTCTCCTAACAAGGTTAAGAAGTTGCGTCGACAGCATTGTGTAACCTATCGAAGTAAACCTCAGCTTGGTGTCGCATCTGCTTCTTCCTGGTTATGGGGCCAGGATACAACACTCGGACTTCTTTCTCTCGTGTGTCTCTCGGTGAACGCCAAGATTGAGACGTTTTCAATTAAAATAATAAGGTAAAATAATTAGCCACGTGCAAATGGGGGATTTTGAGTCCAAAGCAAATTCAAAGCTAATAGTGGTTTGGGCCAAATATATTCAAATCAAATAGTTTCTTCAAGCCTTTCACTACACCTGCATCATGCTCAAAGGGGTTGTCCAGTCAAATTTTGTATTCGAGAAAACAATTGAATATCCTTGTTATTGCCTCGAGAGGCATCGTACGTGCAATATCTGAATTTTATATGCCCCTCTGCATGAGTTAATTGAATTTATACTGCTCCAATCGCGTCCTAAGGTAAACGCTGCTTTCGTTAGCAACATTGAAGCTCTGACGTCACAGAACGCAAAGCGAGCATTCCCATCTCGTCGTTTGCGTGCGAGTGAATGCCGCAGCGTGCTTCGTTTTTGTTGTTGTGCTCGACTTGTTTCGTGGATGGATAAGATTTTTGTTGCACAGTTGGGTGCCACAACCACCGGGCAGCGCATGCGAGCCAAGATGTGACATTCCACACTTTTCCGCGAGACGTTCAAAGACATGCAAAATGGATCGTCGCCGTGCGTAGGGACTGAGTTCCCGTGAAGATCGCCCATCCCATTTTTCTGGCGAGATATCCGTAACATACAAATTCTGAAACATCAGCCGTTCCCCGATTCCCATTGGACGTCATGCGATGCCCGACAGAAATCGCGTCCACCACGTGATCTGCGGTACCGGTACGTCTGACAAGCGAGTTCATAGTGGGTTCCTGCATTTTTGTCTGAGATCTGCATGTACAATGTTGGTTCCTGTAACACACAACTTTCCTCAGGTATATTGCATCGTGAAATGCGAGCCTGCGAATCTACAGCGTCCACGATCTGCGGCATTCGTTCCCTAACGTGCGAGTTTGTAGCGGATTGTCCGTGATCTGCGTGTGCGACATAGGTTCTTGTGACAGGCTAGTTTGTGGCAGGCTCCTGCGTGTTTACTGCACTAAGAAACTTGGATCTGCTGCGTCTGCGGGATCCGTTCCTGTGAGATGCGAGCTCTCGGCGGGTTTTTGCGAGTCCTTCGCACCGTGAAACGCCAATCCACTGCATCCGCAACCTAAAGTATCCTTTCCGACGACACAGGAGTTAGTAGGAACCTCCGCATGTTTATCACGTCGTGAAACACGAATTCGCCGTGTTCACGACGTGTGGTACCGGTTCCCGCGTCACGTGGTTTGTAGCGGGCGCCCCCGTGTTTCTCCTTCATTTTCGAGAAAGTTTCACCGTCGTATCCCCAAAGATAGCCCACCCGAGATTTGTCACCATTCGTCTTTTCATTTTGCAAGGGCGTTCTTTCTAAATTTTATGGCATCGTAAAATTCCAAATTAGAAACAGCTTTTCGAAATTTCGAAAAGTCACGCGACACCAAAAATAAATAAATAAATAATAATAATGTAAGAAACTAAAAAAGGAAGGTAACTTTAGAAAATAAAAAATCCAGCCCAAACCAGAATTGTATACAATCGAACCCATATCCCTTGACAAGGGACTAATGTGCCTTCCATGGTGCCATGGTGCTTGGGGTGCCTCTCACCAGCGTGTTTACTGCGTCCAAAAAAACCTTCGAACGACCTCATAGAATATCGCAATCCTGGTTGACACGAAAACTTGGGCAGCTGGGATCGTCCTTCTGACCCTTTGGACGCAAGAGGGGCCCCTTTCTGGGAAATGTTCCATGCGTCCAAAGGCAGCAGAAACCGGTCAACAAAATGGCGGGCTAGGCAAAAACAGGGCCTAGCTCCCAAGAGCCATTTAGGAGGGGTCTCGCTCCAGTTCCCTCCAGGACGAACAAGACCGAATCCAGGTGGAAGCCCGTCGTACCTTTCCCCGGCCGGCCCGGACCAGCTGCACCCGGAACCAGCTGCCCTCCACCTGGGTCGCGTACACGGTCGACTCCACCAGCTCCGAGACCGGAAGGCTCTGGCAGGCGTAGAAGGCGTCCATCTCCGCCGCCAGCTGGTCGTAGCTCTCCTGCATGCGGGCACTGCATCACGCAACGGGGCCACACTCTGCGCGGCCGCCACGTACGCCGCGACGTCCAAAAAACTATCATTGCCACATTGGTCGGGAAGAATTTCCGAAAACAAAATCACCGAGCAAAAATCGCTTATCCTTAAACCTATTGAAAAACAAGCTCTCAAAGGCACGAGACAAAAGGAAGGGACACGGAGAAAACACTAATGTACCTGCCAACCTGTGGACTTTCAAATTCGTAAAACTCCCGTGGCCGCGGGGAGGGGGCGGGTTTGCACGAAGCGATGTGCAGCTTAATGTCAGCCTTGCCACCGTGCAAAACGCTCAGATCACACATGCACGTTCTACATAATCCAAACTTTTCTCCCTTTTTGGACGGCACGAAGCACGGGAACTCCGACGTGTACGACTTCAAAAATACCTGAAAGTACCTCTTTGGAGGTTGGAAGTTCGCCATTGCGCCGCAAAGCCACCGCGACCAGGGCAATGCTACGATTACACGTGTAACAAACACAGGCACCACACTTCTCGCCTCGAAACTGGCCGAAACAGAGAAGCCCCAACACGTCTGAACATGCCGAACCAATGTGCGCTGCCAAACAAAAGGCTTTGGGTTTTGGATTAGTTTGGGATCCATGGCCACCGGATAAACGGAGAGTAAAAACCATGACGATGCCGTGGACAGTACCTATCGCCCTCTTGTGGCAGTGCAAGGTACTGGCAGCAACAATTTTATGAGAAAAATGTAAAAAAAAAAAAATTAATATTTTTTTTGTAAAATTTGAAGCAAGATTTGTAAAGTCATAAAATTAGTCCCAATTCATATATTTTACGAAAAATTCGGAAGAGTTGGCAGGTATGCACTAACAACTAAAATATATTTAAAAAAAACAAAAAAAAAACAGGTAGCCAGCTTTTTTTTAAAAAAAAAGGAAGGATAAGGCAGTGAGTATTCCCCCATCTACCCTCAAAAAATTTTAAAAATTATTTAGATTTCTTTAACGTCACATCCGTAAAACATCAAAATAGTGGCTCAGGGGTGAGACAGGTGAAACAAGTTTTGGAGCAATTTTTGAAGCAGAAAAATCTGCATTTTGGAGCAGCTTAGGAGCACAAAATTCTCGTTTGGGAGTAGCAGTTTACGCATCTTGGAGCAACTTCGGAGCAGAAAAGTCTACAGTTTGGAGTGAAGATCGAGGTGCTGAAAGCACGCACGGAAACGGAACAAACGGGTGACGGAGGGTAGAGCGCCTCTTATATGTTCCTCGGGGAGTTGACTGCATCCACAGATTTAAATAAGCCTCGACTACTTCACTGGAACGGAAATTGAGCGTCAAAATAGACGAAGGAGTCAATGACTCCTAGCGCATTGCTTCTTTCCAAGTTTCCCTCGAATATTTCGGTTAAATTCCCCGACAAAAGAGGGATCTAAATAGCGGAAGAATGCGCTCCTCCTCTTTAGGTAAGATTCATGCAAAAAACCGGGCAATGGGGAAGTCCCGACGAGGAACTGCGCCAGCCACGCCTCGTTCGGAGGCCACAAGTGCCGCAGAAACTGCTCCCAGAAGAGAAACCTATGGGCAAATGGAGAGAACCTCCGCATCTCTCTGCAGAGACGCTCCCTCTGCACCCACCGACTTTTTCCAAACGTGGGCCAGGCTGTGCTGCGCCCTCCCAACAGAGAGACTCTCTCCGAGCGTCTAGGCGCGGCATCCCACGACGCCGTAGCCTCCAAAGCTACCTTCGAAACACTCCAAGAAAGACCGTCCGTTCTCTGGCACGCCTTACGCAAAAACGAATGCGAGCGAAAGGCTCGTGAGGGATCGACATAGTTTCTAGTGGGAAGGGACTCACGGACTGGTCCACGAGCCGGAAGAAGACGTTGTCGGTGCCAGTCGCATAGGTCACAAACACGTCCCAGTAGCTGCCGTCCGGGAAGGGCAGCGGCTCCGAGAAGGTGCCCGACGTGGAGCTCGTGTCACTGTCCGAGCTCCGCCCCTCGGGCTGCGACCCCCGCTCGCCCGGCACGGGGCAACCGGGGGAGCCGCTCCACCGGGGTTCCAGGACGCAGCGGCCGTCTCCAAACCTGCAAGGTTCCAAAACCTAACCTTTCTGTGCCCCCACGGCACGTGCCCTCCTATGGCTGCGCGCGAGACGTCCCAGTTAGGAAGCTAGGGATGGCCCAAGTTCGGTGGTTGGCAAGTCCTCCATCGATAAGCTTTCCCTGTCGTCACACAAAACCCTAATCCGTCCAAAATTGGAATACAGTCTAAGCTCATTATAACAGACCTGGTTACAACAGACATATGGATATAAAATACCAATTTGTGAAGTTCGGTTGGTTTTTCTTTGTGCACTCAACTTCACACAACATACTCCTTTTAAAAAAAATTGGGTTGTGAGGATATTTATACAGCATGTAGTTGGTGAGCCATTAAAGTTGCAACGAGTCACACGCTGTAGATGAGCAATTTAGCCAGTGCAGTACAACCGCTAGCCTGGGGTCTTTAACGTGCACCACACAGTAGTGATACACGACCGCACGCTGGTACGATGCTCATCCAGATCGAAATGGGCAGGGGTGGGGCTCGAACCCAGGATCCCTGGGTTCTAGCAGCGCGAGCTTTCGCTCAACGCGCGTCGAGCTGGGTGTGCGCTTTAGCCCACTCGGCCACCGATCCCCGAGTCCTTTTACAACAGACTGAAATCTTGGTCAAAATCAAGGTCTGTTATAACGAGCTTAGACTGCAGGTGTATTCGCCAGGACATTCCCACTGTTCTCCTTGTCCTCCCGCCAGCTTGCTGTTTGGGTGCCAGCAGGTGTATTCGCCACATACGCCATTTACAAGAAACTCTACAGATGACTGAGGCAACCAATTATCGCTTTTATATGTTATGTTTACGACACAAATGGGGAACGCGAAAGCAGTCAAAGCAAAAGCACTCACCCCAAAATATACATTATGCCAAAAGTTTAATTTTATAGAGTAGTTATTGCTTTCCCCAGAAATGCGATGATAGGTGAACAAATGCCAGCAAGCTCTTATGTGCATTTGTGTGTGTGTGTGTGTGTGTGTGTGTGTGTGTGTGTGTGTGTGTGTGTGTGTGTGTGTGTGTGTGTGTGTGTGTGTGTGTGTGTGTGTGTGTGTGCGTGCTTGTGCGTGTGTGTTGGGGGGGCTGTACAAGCTATGTGAAACGGGAACTCATCAACTTCAAAGTTTTCTAGCTTTACCCTCACCACAGTCTAGGGTTTTAAACATCCTGATTAACTATCACCAGCTTGCCTGCACACTCACTGTCTTTTGTTTACTGATACATATCGCAGACACGGCGAACTCGCGTGTGCAATAAGTATGTGGGAATTCGCAATGAACTCCCCTGTCACGGCAGCAGAACGCGGATGCAGCGATTCGCGCTTCACAGTGCAATAGAGACGCCAGAACCCGGCCCCCCCAAACTCGAGTGTCCCAGGAACCGATATCACACACAAAAATCGCAGACAAAAAAAATAAATGCGGGAGCGAATTTGGAATTTGCATGTCCTATGGGAAGGGATACCCCACATAATATAGATGCTGCAGGTTCACGTGTCACGGTGCGACAAGCACGAGAAAACCCGCGGCGAGCACGCTTGTCGCGTGCCGATACTGCAGATCACGCAATAAATGCAATTTAAAAAAAAAACGGGATATGCAATTTTTTGCAGCAGGCGTTTGTACGAGACTTTACGGTGTTATGTGGTATTTCCAATACACTCAGTCACGCTCGATGCCACTGTGTGAAAAAAAACGAAGATTTAGTAAATGTCGAAACGATGCATAGAAGTTCAACGTCTGTCAGAGTTCTGATGAGTACTCTGACAAAGCGACCTGTGCATGTGCCATTTTCGGAAATCAGACTTACACGCCGTTGACACGACCACATCAGTATGGTGGTTTCATAACAATAGGGTCCTTAGCAAACCGTCACTGCGCACTACCGGAGTCTTTGAAGTATTAAGCGCGCGCTCCGCGGTCACTGTATCACTCGAGCGCGCGCTTAAAAGCATGCTTCAAAGGCTCCGGTAGTGTGTGGTACGCGGTAACGGTTTGCTAAAAGTCCCTATTGGTTCAGAATTACCTAAACGAACACAACACAGTAAATCACTGTGGCCAATAAAGAAAAATACTCCAAAAAATGTCCCCTTTAAAAAAAAAAAAAACTTGTTCGGCTAGTTTTGGCGCAACAAGTGCGCTTGGGAGCAGGATGGCGCAGCGAAAGTGGATTGGTGCACGATGGCGCAATTGGCGCAGCGCTTCCACCCCTGCATTCCCCGTGGCTTTTATCCAGTTTTACGCACGATTCAAGGTCGCACGTCGTTCGATTGAGCGTCGAGATCATGCTGGAGCGGTAACTATGTTTCTTTGTGTCGACATGTGGGATCCGGGCAGTTTGGCTTTTCGGCACTCGTTTATGGCCATTCTTCACCCAGAAGCAACCAGCAACTGCGCTGCTGGACGCAAGTTCGACCCGTTTGAGCAGACGATGCTCCAGCTGAGTCTGCAATGGCACGGAATCTTAAACTGTGACGACAAACGAAGATGCTTTCAAGGGCAAAGTCTGGATAAGTGGGGATGCCTTCCGGAGTTGGAGGTTAGGCTCGCAACATACGCCGCAAAAGTGCGCAATCAATCCCTATCCGTGACGTGCAACGCGACCACCGAGCAAGCGCGGAAGATGCGGTGGATGCTGTCATTTACCAAATGCGAGATTTCGTTGGATGACGCCGACGACGTGCTTCCCGAGTGTAGCAGTGATGATGACGGGACTGACATCACTAGTGCGGACGAGTCGTAGTCTAGTCCCGGACGGAGTGAGAACGACAGGGAGCAGCTTCTGTTGTCCTGCCTCCAGCATGAACTCCCTAGTTTCAATAATAACTGGGCACATCTCATGCATCTCATGCGTGCATGCGCAGCCAAGGCATGCCAGAAAGCATCTATCGTGCGTTAGAGGCTGGGCTTTCAAAACATACTTTGCCGTTCTCACGTGTTCGCAGTAAAACGAACATCTAAAGATTTTTTTTTTTTTCTGATGTGCAATGTGCGGGGTTGATTTACAATCGACTTGCAGTCGTGTAAATACAGTATGTTTCATTCCATTAAATTCGTTACATCCAAGTAAGTCTGATACGTTCGATACAGTTTCCCTATACTCGGCACGTAGACGTTGTCACACCTAGAACTTGCAGCCATGTCATATACACAGCCCACTCGCTGTTTTTTTTTTTCTCTTCGTCTTTTTTTTTTTTTTTTTTAATGTTTACAAATTTGATAGATATTTATCTGTTGCAGCACCAAAATTTCGCGCTACCTAACGACCAAAACATGAGACCGTGGTTGCGAAAAAAAACTTGCACTGGTGTGAAGGACAACAATTCCAAGGTCGGTCGATGCAAAGGGAAAGCGGGAAGGAAGACTCACTGGGTGATGCTGACAACACTGGCCGACTTGACCAGGTCCAGCCAGTTCTTGGGCAGTGTCTCGTGGTACTGCTCTCTGTACATGTCCGGAATCACTATGCTCCACAGGCCGTTGGGCTTCTGGGACACCAGCTGAGAAACAGAAAACAAAAACAATCAAACACAGCCAAACCCGGTTATAACAAAGTCGACATTTCGAAAGGTTTGCTACAGTCATACTTCGCTACGAGTGGAATTTGCCCAAAAGGTGGCCACTTTTTGTGTACACCACATTTCATGGTCACGCAGCACATAACATAGGCTTTCGCAATGCACACTTTTCCTTACGAGAGCTTGTGCGCTGTGCGAGACCGTACCTAAAAGGGGGAGCCTCAGATGTGCATCGTGTGTGCGCCCTATGTTGGCGCAACTGGACAGCATGTCGTGTATACGGTACGTAGGTACAGCATGTGATTTCCACGATCCGGAAAAAATTAAAATTAAGAAAGCTCAACCATCCTTAACGCACCAGGCAGTAATACAAGGGCCGATGACTGCAAATGCTTTTTCGTGTACCCTAATTCCTTAGAAAGACAGATGCGATTTCCCTTAATCTCGGGAGACGTTGAAAAATTGTCTTCTTTGCCCCTTTCGAATGGCGCTGTAACGCAACCGAAAAGCGTGTAGAATCTCCGCAACACGCTCCAGTGAGTCTCGCTAGCTCTGCAAAGCATGTGATCAAAAGGCATGCAGAATGTCAAAATCCGGACTTGGGAGAGATCCAGAGAGAATCCAAGAGGCAGACGATCCAAGTGTGCGCTGTCTCAGCAACGAGCCTGTTACTTCAACAATCGGGCAACAACTTGCACGCGTCCTCCGCCTCACGCCGTCTGCCTCGCATCATCTGCTCGTGTTGGGCATCTCGCCCAGCCATATTGCTGCCCGCGCAGCTGGCCAAGTAGGCAGCGCACCCATGGCCTAACGGTTATCGTGCTTGCCTCGCACGCAAAAGGCCGAGGTTCTATGCCTGGCCGTGGATAAACCTTTTTGTTGTTTCTGTAAAGTCGCGTTACGGTAAATTTGAGGACCCTGTTGGCTTATTTGAGGTTAGAATGTTCTACGCCGGTTGTTCCAGAAGCCCACGCGTCTACGTAAGTGCTGTGCCTACATAAGTGTCTACATAAGTGCGTGCTGAGCTGGAGTCAGCCTCGCCCCAGCGTTCGATCCTGCTGTTTCGCCGACTTCGACGCCCGCAACGCTCTGTTGTTATCTTCCGTTTCCTTTTGTTTTCGGCACAAGTTCGCCTCATTAAACGTTTCAGTTTCCTCAGTTATTTCGTCACCTTGCAATTCGTGACAATATCAAGTAGGACTTGATCAGCGTGATTCGCTTCTCTGGTGTAGACCACTGCTGACGAGGGTAGTAAAGGAGTTGTGGGAACTCAGGTTCACGAAAAGGACCTTTACGCTAAATGCCACTTGAGTTACCGTGTGGCACTGCCTAAATGACATTTACACTAAAGGTCCTTTTAAGTGCCCCTCTGAGAGGGGTCTAAAAGACGTTCAATCAGCCAATAGTGTATGATACACTGGTCCATTGCCTGGTAGTAAATGCACCTCCGCAGCACTCAGGAGTGGATTGACAGGATGTGCGCTAGAGTTGTCAAGCAGCAACACCTGCTTCCTCTTCTGCTTGTCATCACACGCGAGTCACAGAAGGAGTCCCCGGTCATCCACGCTTTTTTGTTGTGTACATATGTAACAAGAAAGAATATCCAAGAAGCCACGAGGTTTCTTGGTTCTTCCGATCATGAGCAGCCTCTTTGCTCAGCTCCGACACAGTTGTCGCCTTTGTCTGCGTTTTTGCGGGCTGGTAAAAGAGTGTCCCTGTAGATGTCTTGATCTACACGAGTTGAAAAATTCCACTCCAGGTTCTTTCCAAGCCACTGGCGGACAGAGCCTCGCCGACTACGCTCTTGCAAGCCTCGAATCTTCTTTAATGTAACGATGGATGTCATGCCGATCCTCATTGCAGCCAGCTGGGCTCAGTCAGGCACCAAAGCGAGGTTCCCAACTTTTCCCGCAGGTATTGGGCCGCTCTTTGGGACACCTTTTGCATGAGCGTCGAGAAACCATTTGTATAGAGCCTCTTGGACGTCGCAACATGTCGCCTTAGGGATCTTCCGGTCTACACTGGAAGCATTGTCGTTCAGGACTCGGCCCATCTTACCACCATTCTTGATGATTGAGGAAAGTGTGAGTGGTGCAATCTGCCGTGCAATGTGGGACATCTTGACGTTCTGCAGCACTTCATTGAGAATGGCACACTTCAATGAAAGAGCCTTACGCTTCCCAGTCGGTGGACAGAGATTCGGCATGGCCAGGCAGGTCCGGGAGTCCGTAGTCAAAAGGTGCAACGAGCCGTTCGAGATTCCTTGGTAAGATGACGTAAAGGCGCTCGGAAAGGCTCTTTTGTACCACCCGGAGGGGTCAAGAATGGGCAATCTGGCTCGCTGCAACTCCGTGCGTCCCCAGATAGAAAAAAAAAAATTATTGCCGGAACAAAACAAAAGAACGCTGGAGACGGCATTTCATTCTTTCTGTTTGGCATGCCCGATTTCTTCTCTTATGTACGAGGAAAGAATTAGTATCCCTTCCTGCATCTCGTTTCAAGCCCCCTTACGCCACTTTCTTTCTGTTCCGCGACCACTCGTGTTGCAAACCAACACCCACTGCCTGAGATGGCTATTGCGTCACTTGCAAAGCGGCAAAGCCAAATTTGTGAAGTACGGAGTTGCCCAACTTGTACTGGAGAGAGTCGCTCAGCGCTGGAGCGCACCAAACATTAGAAATAGATTGTTTACGATCTACTCCTGGGATTCTGGAACGCTACTTTCTAGCAATTTTCGCAAAAAAATAATCTTAGCACTTTAAAGAGATACTACAACCAAATTTCGACACTTATTTCTCGATCTATTTCTGTTCAAGATTGGTGTGTCTGATTATCACATCAGACACACCAATCTTTCGTTGAAAAAGACGGGAAAAAAAATTTTAAAACAAATAAACGACTAGCAAAGAGCACCTGGTGGATGTCGCTAACGCCTCGTTTGTAATGCCCGCCTAGGAACCTTGACAGGTAGTGAGAGTAACTGTCTCGTCTCCGGCCACGAAGAGAGAAGAGCTGAAAGAGGAACTCCCCTCTACCCTAGACTCCCAGAAGTCCCTATAGTCCCCAGTGGCGTCACTAGGGGCAGCGGCACCCGGGGCGGTGGCCCGCCGCAACACCATCTCCCCCGCTCGTTTTCGGAATCTCCGCTCATCTTCAGTGCCTGTCAAAGCTATGCAAGCGTGCCTTTGCCATTTTCAAAAAGTTTAGAAAGAGACGACTAGTGTCGGTGCGGGGTAACATAGCCGACAAGCTTGCAATGGCACGCGCTGCCCACACGAGCGACAGGCGCATGGCGGCCCAAAGATCCTAGTATGACGTCACGACTGGTCGGAGGTTTTCGTGTTTTCTCAAGTTTGAAATACATCTTCAGGGAAAACAAACGTGATATTCAGATTCACGGGATAAAAATACACTCTAACTCCTTTTTTTCAAAAAGTGTTTCAGGTTCTCTTTAAGGAAGTGATACCGTCATCATTGGGGCTATCGAGGTTGTTGAGTCACGCCCCTTTCGCTTCCCGTGGCATTGGGCAAGGCGACCCCAATTGGCATGCGGACACCATCTAATCTGCTCCTCTTCGCACTGAAGGTTGGTAAAAACCCTTCCTTTGGTCGATTTATAAAAAGTTATTGGTGCCTAGCGGTGTTGCCCTGCCCGAAAGCGTTTTGTGCTATCGTCGACTGCTTTGATGGTTTGTGTATGCTGGTGTAGCTTTTAAGCGGCGACGTTCAATTAAATCATGGTCCCATAGATGAGGTAATGAAGGCACTTCTCAATGGACAAAAAGAAATGCTTGAAAAGATTGGGATGGTCAACGAAACGCTTGACGATTACATGGCTCGAACTCTCTTGCCAGGTGTAGTGCACAACAATGTGAAAGAACAGTCGAAACAAAATCGGTCTGGCATTGCATGCTAAGATAGATGACGTTAAATCGCAGTAGGCAGAAGAACGTCATTATCTATGGATTGAAAGAAGACAGCAATAAGACGACAGCCTCATTGCAACAGCATGTCATCAATGAAGTGTTCCAAGCCAAGATGGGTGTAAAAATCACAATTCTTCAGAGGATTCATCACTTGGTAAGAAGAGGCGGCAATTCAACCCGGCAAGTAATATTGCGTCGTTTTGACCAAAATGAAAAAACTGAGCTTTTTAGGAACGCTCGTAAACTTAAAGATACTGGCTTGTCACTACGTGACGACCATTCGCAGGATGTACGCAGTAAGCGTAAGCACTTACAGGACCATGCGAAAGTAGAAAGGGAGCCAGGCGACCACTCGGTTAAACTTGTACGCGATAAACTATACGTAGATGGCAAGTCATATACATGGGGTTCAGAACTTCAGGAAGTGGTACAAGTTAAATGATCGTAATGTACCCCCAAATCAAGGACAGTTTGTGAAATCGTTGTACTTGTTGTAAATTGCCGGAGTGTTAGAAATAAAGTGGGCGAGTTGGCTGGCCTAATCAGTTCAATATGTGCTGATGTCGTCAACGGACGGAGTCTTGGCTCGACGCAACGATAATGGACAATTAAGTACTTCTTTGTTCTTTCAATGTGTACCGTCATGAAAGAATGACGCACGGTGGCAGAGTTTTTATCTTAGTGAGGGATTCATTAAATAGCAGCGAACTTTCTGTTGACAGCAACTCAGCTGATTCTGTTTGGTGCCGTGTCATACAGTCTGCTGGTTCGAGATTTGTGGTTGGCTCCTTTTATCAACCACCAGCTTCTGATTTGAGCGCTATGCGGCAGATTGTTTGTTCTTTTTCTGCCGAGTGTATTCTTCTTGGAGGCGATTTTAATTTACCGGATGCCACATAGAGTGATAGTAGATGCGTTTCAGGCTCTAATAGCGGTATATACTCCGAGGTGAAAACTATGTCAAATACACTTGGCTTTTCTCAATATGTTGCCCAGCCGACACGCGGTTCTAACCTTCTTGATTTGTTGTTTTGCAACACTCCCGATGTTGTGTATGCGTCATACCTGGCATCAGTGATCATCGTGCCGTCGTTGCCAATTTGGCCACAACTACTAATCCAGTCAAAATTATTGAGTCTAGGAAAGTTTTCTTTTTTGACAAAGGGGATTATGCGAAGATCTCAATGAATCTTGAGAACAGTCTTTTGTCTTTTGAATGTATTGCAGACGACATAAGAGTTAATCATTTGTGGCTAACGTTTAAGGAAGAATTCTTACTCTCATGGACGCTTATGTACCTAGTATATTAAGCAGTAAACGGAAAAAGAGGGAGGAACCATGTATTATGTGAGCTTATTTGCATGATACATAGACGACAGAGAACCTTTACAAGGTACTGCAAAAATAAATCCGAGGATAACTTTTGTAAACTGCGGGACTTAACGTCACAATATAAGAAAAAATTGAGAGAATGCCAGAGGACGTTCTTTCAAGGTTTAACTTTAGACCTGCAAAGTAACAACAAGAAGAAGTTTTGGAAATTTATGAAACGGTGTGGTAAAGATAAGCTTGGGCCCCCCAGCCAAATGCAGCAAGAAGGGTTTGTAGTAAAAAATGATTATGATAAAGCTACATTATTTAATGATTTCTTTAAGTCAGTATTCCTTCCCGATGAAACTGTTTCCCTACAGATGGTTAGCGACCAGTATGTTGGCATGCCGCAGGTTGGAATCAATAAATTGCTCGTTAATATTGATGAATCCAAAGCTACAGGTCCTGATGGTATCTCTTCCAGGGTGTTAAAGTATTGTTCGAGTGCAGTAGCAAAATATCTTTTTGCCATTTTTTTCAAAGTTGATACAGGAGGGAAAACTACCTGATGATTGGAAAGTAGCCAATGTCGTGCCAGTTTTAAAGGGTGGATCTAAATTTACTGTTTCGAACTACAGGCCCATCTCACTGACCCCAGTGTGCTGTAAAATTGTTGAACATATTTTGCACTCGGCATTAATGAAGCACCTTGTTTTGATAGACTTTTTGAATGATCAACAGCATGGGTTCCAAAAAGGTTTTTCATGTACGACGCAGCCAATCGAGTTTTATCGTGATACTGCCACGGTACTTGATAATAGAGATCAAGATGATTGTATGTTTTTAGATGTGAAGAAAGCATTTGATACTCTCTCTCATTCAGTATTACTGCAGAAACTTCAAGTCCTAAATATTGATATTAATGTGATGCACTGGTTACGAGATTACCTAGCTTCAAGGCAGCAACAGGTTGTGGTAAATGGGACATGCTCGGGTGCTTCTCTTTTTCATTTATATTAATGATATTTCCCGAGGAATTGAATCAAAAATGTCTCTTTGCCCATGATTGTGCATTGTACAACGCAGTGTCTGGTGAAATGGATTTCACACAGCGTGTGAGAGATGTTAAACAAATTAAATCATGGTGTAGAAACAATAAGATGTCATTGAATGCTAGCAAGTCTGTTCATGTGTGCTTCGCAAGAAAACATAATAAATTGACTCATCAGTACTCCATTAACAATGAAAATATTAGAAAGGAACCATCTTATAAGTATTTAGGTGTTATATTTGCCGAAGACGGAACATGGACAGCACAAGTGAACAGTGCTGTTTCCAGGGCAGGCAGGGCTCTAAGTTTTTTACGATGCAACCTTAAAGATGTAAGCAAAGAGCTTAAGGAAGAGCATATAAAGCCTATGTTAGACCGATATTAGAGTATGCCTGTCATGTGGGATCCGTCTTACCAGGTTCGTATCAGTGCTATAGAATGTATTCAATCTGTTGCTGCTTGGTTTGTCCTGGGAAGGTACGATTGTTTCAGTAGCACAACTGAAATGAAAAAGGAACTGGGATGGGCGCATTTAAATGATTGTCGTAAAAGGCTGCGCCTCAAATTGTTTTACTCGATTCATCAGAACGAAACAGGAATTTGTGCTGCCAAGTTTCTGCATTCACCATCTTATTGTTCTGCTCGTACAGACCATTGTTATAAGGTTCAGCCTTATTTCTCCAGAACAAACATTTTGAAACACTCTTTCTCTGCACGAACCATCGCAGAATGGAAATCATTACCGGCAGAAGTGGTGTGCCACGAGACTGTGGATCTTTTGTTTAATGCATTGTGCCCCCCTGCAATAATGCCTGCATGGGTGCTGCGGGTTTTGGGATTGTGACGGGCTCAGTCAGTGTTCCGGAATTATAAGGCATCATTTTTTTAGACATTGCGCATACCGTATTTCTCCGAATATAAGGTGGTCCCGATTATAAGGCGAGGGGGCAGTTGAAGGACTCAAGAAAAAGAAAAAAAAATCAACATATTGCTATACTGAGCTTCGAATATAAGGCGGGGTATGACTTTGAGACTATGGATTTTGGAAAAAAACCTCCCCTTATATTCGAATAAATACGGTAGTTTTATAGATATCCAAGCTTGGTTTTAGGCATGTATAGCAAAACCAAAGTAGGCTACTCGTGTTCAATTCGAAGATATTTCATTCCGCTATGTTTTTAATGTGTTCATAATTCTAACGGCGTTTTCGTGCAATTCACACTAACCCCGCTGAGTGCACTTCTTTCCGAGCACCGGTGCACTGCAGAGAGGCAACAACCGCAGATCTCGCTTCCGCAGGTGTTGCTTCTCCGCAGTGGACTGGTGAGAACTCAATGGGGCTCAAGAAAGGCCCGCATGAGCTATGAAAATGGGCACCCTGCAGAAATTTTCTTAGCAATGTGCGCGGATGCTGCAACAAGGCGGCATGGCATAGGTCCACGTCGCAGCGTCCGTGCAAGTTGTTACCAAAACTGCCCAGCGGTGCCCAGTTTCATCGCTCGTGTGTCCCCCGCTTACATTAGACAACTCTGATGACTTAATTTTGTTTGGAGTTGTCACACACTGTCTAAATAGTCCCCAATCAACAACCTTTTTCAAAGATAAACAAGCTTATGGTGTACATTTTAGGAATGTTTCATGCGCAGCATACCAGCTGCTTATGGTCAGTAGGCCTATGTAGAGGAAATCATCCAATATCTGCTTTGCATGCGTAGCCATTCATAAGCCAAATCATAATTTTTTCTTTCATCATATTTATACTCATGATTCAAGCTTCCGATAATTCAAATAAAATTTGAGGCTTCCTGGAATTATTGATGCGCTAGAGAGGGATGGCAACACTGTACCAGCTGTTTGACGGTGGCACTGCGGTGTACGCTGCCCAGTGTTGCTTGACTCAAAGCTAAGCCGCTTGCTAAGGAGCAGCAGGTAGCATCTTTACAATTGGTTTTAGTGGAATACGCAACATTTCGGCTGGAATACTTGGTGCCACTAAAGCAGATTAAATAAAACTATCTCAAGTTCCAGAGAGCTTCAAACTATCAGGTCGACTATAGCTCTGGACATGGAAATGAAAATAATCTTATTGTTTTCAGAATAAATTTGAATATCAAAGCTATTTATGGCTTAGGGATTGAGCACCAAAGCCACCTAAATTGCTCTGGAAGTGAATATGCCAGCAATCTGAATAGCTTTTCAAAGAGCCAAGGAACTCATTACTAGTTCTTTTAATGGCCTCAAAGAGAAAAATCAAAAGTAACGATTAAAAGAAAAAGGACTGGCAGCGACCTTTTTTTCTGAAGTCTTAGAATGCATGAAATGCGGTGTTGAAGAACCGACTCTATACATCTGTTAATAAGACATTAAACGCTCCTTTCAGGGCATTTACTTTCTTCTTATATTTTTAGCTGATTTCTCCGCTAAAGTTAATTGATGCGCAAATCCCGGTACATTAGGTCCCCATTTCTTTATCGTCCAACTGCATTCTTTCCATCATGTTAGTGGAAAGAATGCAGTCAATATATCGATCGCCACTAGGATGGTAAAATTGTTTGACATTGCTAAAATAAGATATGTAAACTGGAGCCAAGTGCAAGAGGAACGTGATTGGTCCCTGCTTGCCTTTCGAAAGTGAGAATTTGCTTTGGCTCAAGCCTAGCAAATTTACACGCAAATCAAATGCCAAAGCTCTTTAGTTTCTGTACCTTTCAGAACTGAGAAATTTGCTTAGGGCGGAACCTACCTACTAAATCTATATGCAAAAAGTATATTTTGACCAATGCGCTTTTAAAGAACACGCACAAAATAAAAAATTTTTTTTTTTTTTTTTTTTTTTTGAACAGCTTAGATAGAAAATGAATATCAGAAAGGAATTCTATGGCTTGAAAGGAATTTGTAGTTGGCACTTGCGGGAGCCAGTGGAGAAGCGCCTGCTATGGTCACATGGTGCCCTTTCAGGAGCTTCGTTTTGACTCTTAAAAGTTGCTTAGTAACCTTTGAATTGCAACAAAAGAAACAAAGATCAATAATAGAGCCCAAAGGAAGCTCCTGAAAAAGCACCACGTAACAGACCTGTGCGCCGGTCACAAATTGACAAGGGACTTTGCGGCGGTGCACAGGTCTAATATGCGACCAGTGGCGGCTCCCGCGGGCGCCAACTACAAATTCCTTTTCCGTCCTAAGCATACTTCTAAAAATTCATTTTTTCCTCGTAAATTTGTTTCATGACATTCCTTTTCCATTTAGGCTGTATAAAAAACGTGTCCTTTAAGAGATTGGCTCCAGAGGGCCAAGACAAAGTTCCCTCCCACCTCCTTGACTCGACCCAGGAGGCATTCCACCTGCTGCGCACTCGAAGCTGGAGTCTCCGGCAGCGATTGCTTCAAGCCTGAAAGAGAAGGAAACACTTTGTATTCACCCAACTTGCCACTGCAAATTGTTGAGAAAAAATTCATTTTTCATCAATCATGAGGTTTTCCGTTTTAGAAACTAATTATACAGCTTTACACTAAATTTGATAACCATGTGCCAAATAGTAACGTTGATACAAAATAGTTTCAACAGATTGTGAGGCAGTAACAAAGTAAAGGAGTTCAATGTTTGAATGCATTTTTCTCAGTTCCACTGTTTGCTGCAAATTTCGTACGAAGGAATCTTTTGTTCGAAGGTAAAATTATTCTGATACCACAATCAAGATGTTTCTGAACTGAAATTTACTGGGGAATCGGGCTATCTACTTTATATTAAATTGAAGTGTTCATTGTTAGGGTCTAGGGGTTTACTCTACATAAATTCCCTCCACATAAACTATCTTCCAGCTGTTATCCTTCTTGTGTCCAACCTGGCACACGCTCCGCTGTCCCATCGCATTGTCCTCCATGAGCAACAATGTCATTGATGTGCTACCCACTGGCAGGGCGTGAACTCCGTGCCGAGCACGGTGTGTGGCACGCAAGCGCCCATGTTCTGTGCGTGGCCGATGCACACACAGCCCGCACTTTCACATCATTGAAAAAATGCAATGTTTTCAAAAATTGACATATTTTGAGATATTAACTCTTTCAGAAATATTTACATTCGAGTTAAAAAAAAGTGAAAGCCGTTTACAAATCCCTGTAACGCCGAATTGGAGCGCAGCTCTTGAGGAGGAGGAGTGAAGGGTACTGAGGGGAGGGTAGACCCCTCCCCCTTCTCCTCCTCCTCCCCTCATTCTTTAATATGCTCCGGGGGGGGGGGGGGTCACGTGACCTCGGGGAGGGGGGGGTGTCACGTGACTTCGGGGAGGGGGTCACGTGACCTCGGGGAGGCGTGACCTGGGGGTCACCTCAAGGTCACGTGACCCCCACGTGACCTCGGGGGGTCACATGACCTCGGGGGGTCACGTGACCTCAGAGGGGTCACGTGACCTCAGAGGGGTCACGTGACTTGGGGGGTCACGTGGGAGTCACCTTGGGGTCACGTGACCTTGAGATGACCTTGGAAGGGGTCACGTGACCTTGGGGGTCACGTGACCTCGGGGGTCACGTGACCTTGGGGAGGAGACCACGTGACCTCAGAGGGGTCACGTGACTTGGGGGTCACGTGACCTTCAAAGGGTCACGTGGGGTCATCTTGGGGTCACGTGACCTTGGAAGGTGTCACGTGACCTCGAGGGGTCACGTGATCCCAAGATGACCCCACGTGACCTTGGGGGTCACGTGACCTTAGGGGTCACGTGACCTTAAGGGGGTCATGTGGGGTCACGTGACCTTGAGATGACCTTGGGGGTCACTTGACCTTGGGATGACCTTGGTTACGCCGACGCCGCTCAAGCCGGGAACGGGCCCCTAAGAGCTGCGCTCTAAAACTTGATAGCCCAAAGTCCCACATCCCCCGCTTTGTATTCTAGCAGTCAAAATGGTGCTTAATAGCTTAATTTCATATCATACCGTAAGGTTCTGAAAGAACGCCCAGCCAAAATGAAGAGATAAATGGAGAAAAGCATGGGGTGGGCTATCCTTGGGGATGCCACGGCAAAGCTGTCATCAAACCGTTGCCGGTAGCGGGTGATGCGGAACAAGAATGCGCTCGCTTCATCGAATACAAAGACCGTCACTCACTCTGTGAGACTTCCCTTCAAAGTGAGGACGCTCCAGAGAAGAGCTGGGACGCAAGAGCCATCAAGCGCAATCGGCAACCAAGTCCCTCCTGCCTCCATTAGAGTCAAGCTGCCCAAACTCTAACTGCTCAAGTTCGACGGACAACGTCAACAGTGGAGACCCTGCTGGGAACAGTTCGAGCAGGTCATCCACGGCAAAAAGCTGCCCAAACTCTAACTGCTCAAGTTCGACGGACAACGTCAACAGTGGAGACCCTGCTGGGAACAGTTCAAGCAGGTCATCCACGGCAACCCAGAATCGTCATTGGTCAATAAGTTCCACTACCTCAGATCTGCAATGTCGGGGGAAGCTACAGCAGTGACTGCTGAATTGCCACCAACAGCAAGCTGCTACCAAGATGCACGCGAGATCCCGGGGACACGGCAACAAAGTGCTGCTCGTGGATGACCACATGATGGAACCAGAGAAACGACAGCCAATTCGTTCCACACTCCGGCAGCTATGTGACGACCTACAGGCACACGTACGTAGACTGAAATCGCTAGGGGTGAGCAAAGATTTATTTTTGGCTCTGCTATGTCGCCCGATACTTGACTGATCCCAGGGGATCTTGTGTTGACCTTCAACACAAGTGTCGTTCAAGACAAGGGACAATGTTGCGTGGATGTTCAGAAGGAACACTGGGCTGGCAAAGAAAACGAGCAAGCAAGGGAACAACAACAGCAAAAGCAGCTGCCTGCACTCCCGCAATTCTTGCGTATTAAAGTTGAAAGTAGAGAATGAACAGCCCTAACAAGAAAAAAGGAATCCGAAAGTTCAAGACATACGGCAGATAAAGAGAGTGGAGCAGCATCTCGAGCTCAAAAGCCCAATACCAAACCAGGGTCTTGCAGAGGAACAGCTGCAATGCTTTTACAGCAGGCTGACAAGCTGTGTTGTTTTTTCTGCAAGTCCCCACAACACAGAACTAAGCCAAGCCAAGATGGATCTTCCAGAGAAGTGCTGGACGGTGCTTCGGGTGCACGAAGAAACATCATCTCGCTAAACAGTGTAGGCAAAGACAAGAGACAAACAAAGTCAAACAAAGAAAAACAAGACTTCCCGCTCCAGTCGCCCTGCAATCTATAGTTACTCAAGGGGCCGAGAAAACTGCATTTCCACAAACCGCGACAGTTTGGAGCTTGGAACATCACCAACATATTCTTTTAAGAGTTCTATTCGATGGTGGGAGTCACAGAACAACTGTCGCAAAGATGCAAGCCTGTGGGCAAAGAACACTAGGAGCGTTCTGTGACCATACAGGGGAAAGAAACTTGTGTTCTCGTAGTTCTTGAAAACAAGGGACAAACTTTCCATGTGGAAACACTCGAAACAAGTAGGATTTGTGGTCAGTGACTTCCCCGCCCAAAGCAAGAACTATATCATCAACTAGAAGCAGGCTTCTGTGACCATGATGCACCAACAGGTGCGGACGTCCCGATGGGTGCAGACTGATATTGGGATTTCCTCACAGGCTATGTAAGGACATCCGGCAGAAAACTTGGATGGACCATACAGGGTCCAACAGAACTCTCCGCATTTGTGATCCGGTGTTCACAGGTAGTTGTACTGAGGGCCACGACAGACAGTGCAGATGTATCTCAAGTCGTATAGAAGTTTTGGGACCTCAAATCGATGAACTTTTCCCTGAGAAGGAACCCATAACACCTTTTTACCAGGAAACAGTCAGAAAGAATGGCTATGAGGTTCCCTGGAAACGTACACAGTCGCCGACCGTTTTTTCGCACTCCGATAATTCGGACTTGTTCGATACTTTGGACCTAAAGGAGGAACTGTGACCTACCTGATAAAAATAGCGCATATCTAAGACCAATGTTTCAAACAGCTTGAAGTCCCAAAGTTAGATTATTCGGACAAAATCGCAGCAAGTGATCAGCGGGAAACACCACTGAGAGGCGGCCATTTTGGAGTCTATGTTTGCTGTACATGGATTGGCTTGGTTTGGCAGCGCTACTCGAGTAGTACTGCTAAGCTCTACCACTAGGTGATGCCCTACGGCTTTTTTTTCTCTAGCTGCGCGTCATTATCATCATCACTGTTCTTACCATTTCGCTTTGTTCATTCGCAATTGCAGTCATGGACTTGTGCCTCTCATCTCGATCTCGGTGAATCGTGTTTTCGGACTATGCTAGCTTGGACATCATTGACCTATCTGTTCTTCATCCGCCGCAATGTGTCGCTAAGAAGTGCGGAAAGTACTTGACCATAACGCTAGAAAAGAAGGCAGCAGTTCTCAAGCTAACAGAAAGTTGCCGAATGCAAACGGAGGTGTAACCTCAAGCGAGGCACTATTTATGACTTTTTAAAGCCCGCTTAGAAGTAATAGAGGAAAGTTTTTCAATTTGCTGATTTTCCGGACCGCTCTGTTATTTGCACGTTTTTTTCGGTCCCTGCAAAGTCAGAAAAATCGGTGGGCGACTGCACCACATCGAGAATTTGCGAGTGGCAACGCGGTGGAAGATACTTGCAGAGTCTGCAACTCGGCGTCATCCTGTTGAGCCTTGGTTAGTCTGAAAAGTCGGGGGATGCAGCGAGTGCCTCGATGCGTGAAAGCGTCGGCTGCCTCATCATTCACTCCAGGCACGTGACGCAGATCGGTTGCAAGCTGGGAGATGGATGCGAGATGACGAATCTCGCGGTCCGAGTGCGAGGTCTGATTAGCGTGGAAGGCGAAGCAGGTTTGTGATCTGTCACGACGTGGAAAACCCGGCCTTCCCGGAAGTGCAGGTACAGTAAATTTTCGTTAGTTCAACCCTGGTTACTTCGACTTTCCGTTTAATTCAATCGTGTTCAAAAGTCCCGGCGAGTGCCCATACATATCTATGGGAGGAAAAGTTTGATAGATTGAACTCGGGAAGACTCCGCATCGGATAATTTGTCCCAAGTGAATGCGTGCGGGCTCACGTTGCACGGCACCACGGCAGAACCACCACCAACGTAGGACGAAACACGGGCTCTTTGCTGCAAAGCCGAACGTGCGCAAATATGCGCCTGCTCCTCTACGCCGTTGAGATGGACCGTAGCAAATGACACGATCCAGCGCAACCAATCTGGCGTGGAGTAGCCCGGAGACAGCACGCGCATCTATGATCTCTATGGCACGCGCTCGCAAAGCACTTTTCTGTAGCATCAAGTGCAATCCATCTTGCACGTCAAAAAACACAAATTTTCTTTTCCTTTTTTTTTTTTTTTATTTTTCTTTGTTGTTGACGGTCTGGCTGCCAGGTGCCAAAGTCGACTCATAAAACTTTTTTTTTTTTTTAGTGCGCCATTTTTCTTGAAATTGGCTGTTCCAAGGACACACTTCATCGCATTGACAACGAGACCATAGCTGCGCACTTGTTTGAAGAGCAACCAAAGGTGTCGTTCATGCTCTTCAGGTAACCTGTCCATGAGCAGGTCGTCGACGTATGCAAATGCAAAGAGACGACCGCGTGGCACTTGGTGTACAATTTGTTGGAATGTCTGTGCGGAGTTGCTCAGTCCGAAGGGCATTGGTAGTACGTACTCAAATAACCCCAATTGCATGGTTACAGCCGTCTTAGGAATGTCGTATGCCTCGATCGGTATGCAATGGTAAGCTTTGACCAAGTAGACTTTACTGTAAATAGAGGTTCCGGCAAGTTGTCTTGTCAAGTTGTGAAAGTGCAGCGGAGGATCCTGCAAAGCACTTGCATTCAGGGCGCAGTAATCCCCGCAGTGCTTCCAGTCCCCCGGCTCCTTTTTGGACAAAATATAAGTGGTGAAAACCGTTTCATTTTTTTTTTTTTTTAAGTAGCTTTTGATCAGTATTTTAGATCAGAAAAGAAACAAATGTAGTTGATAAAGTGGATGAAAACAAGAAATGACCTGTCGACATACCCGCGTACCAAGCAGTGGAAAAGGCGGCCCAAACTAGAAAGTTGTAGTGGGATCAGGCACCGACGAGCGGCGAGCGTAGAAAGGTCCCGGATGTACGCGGCGGCGCTGCAGTCATTAATGGGCTTGAGGATCCGAATGGTTCCGAGTGTTCCGAAGACCTTCGGCAAGCAGGTTTGGCTTGCGGTTTGGCGGTATGGCAACGCGAAGTGGCTCCTGTTCTGAACTGATCTTTACCCCATGTTTGCTGTCGTTTGTGGCCAATGAAGTGTCATGCCGAATTAGTGTTCAATTCCGCAGCAAATGCAATGCGAGCCGCCCTGGCTGCCCGCTTTATACAGCCTCTCCAGAACATGCTTTAGTGGTGCCCTCTTGAGCCGTCGATACGGAGTGCGGCAGCCGCGAGCGCTCACTGAGCTCACTACATCTCCTCTACGTCACGGCCACTCAAGCAACCAAGGACGTCATGAAGGAGATTATTTTTTGCTTGTTTTTGTAATTTTAATTTTTCCAACAACTTTTAAAATAAAGCGAAATTTGAGAAAAGAAAAGTTTCTCTAAGTTACGACGTTCAGGGTGCTCGGGTTCGGTGCAAATTAAAAAGCAGTAAAAAAGTCCTTGCAGGGCACCTTTAAGTGGTCACGAATTCCCAAAAACTTAGAAAGGGCCAAGGGATTACTCAAAACACCGGCTGTATCTTGGATATACCCCAAAAGTACAGGGTGTCACAAAAGAAAATTTACACTGTCTTTTTTACCGCGAAAATAAACTAAGCATCGCGGAACGCTCATTCTCCGCCCGAAGGTAGAGCTAGAGGTCACAAACAGATGCCAAAGTTCCAGCCCGATCCGATATCTTAATCAAAAGTTATAACTGATTTTCTGAAAATTTCAATGGAAAAATGGCGACCGACGGAGTTTTCAAACACATGAGGCTCTATGGCACCAGAAACCGAAAACGGGCAAAAATGACCTCCATTTTCCCATTGAAATTTTCAGAGAATCGCTTATAACTTTTGAATACAGCATCGAATCGAACTGAAACTTTGGCATCTGGTTGTGGCCTCTAGCTCTACCTTCGGACGGAGAATGAGTGTTCGGCGATGCCTAGTTTATTTTTGCGGTAAAAAAAACCATGTAAATTTTCTTTTGTGACACCCTGTATCATGTGCCTAGCGGCACCCAAGTCATCCACGCCGACCCCTCGACCATGGTCCCCAGAAGGCGACTGGCGGGGTCCGAGTGGCAACAAAGGGGCGTCACGCCATCCCCCATCGGGTGGACTCGAGGAAAACAACAGCGGGAGACAAGGCAAGTGGGCCGAGCCTGGGGGGACGGCTGGAGAGAGGCACAAGGGGCCCCTGCCAAGGCTTGCGTCGTCCGAGAGGAGGGACCTACCCTGTCCCAGGCCTTGCAGGGCCCTGCGGGCAGCTTCCTCCAGGGCCGCCTCCCGGGACTCAAACTCCTCCGGGTACGACTGGAAGGTCTGCCCGTCCAGCCGCACGCTGGCCAGCCACGTCAGGGGGCCCTGCTTGGAGCTGCGGCTGCTCAGCACGCTGAACGACGCCTTCAGCCCCCTCCGCTCCGCAAGCTCCTCCACCAGCTCCCGGCACGAGCGACCTGCCAGACACACTCCTTGCAGTTCAAAGCTTCCAAAGCTTCTTTCTAGGGGAAAATTGTAGCTTCCTACCGAACGTTGTTAACAAACGACACGCTGGGAGCGTTGCGTACGGTTATACAGGAAGGTATAAAGTTGGAGCCCCGGGTGGGGCCTGGGATCTCTTTTGTTCCAACCAGAGACGAGGCTAGAGGACACCAACCTACTGATTGTCCTTAACAGAACTCTAATCAAGCTCTCAATTGCTATACTTAATATTCACTCTTTTCGCGCCAGCTAAAACGTGGTATCACCTGCGTGCGCCCCCAACCATTTCCGGCTCTGAACTAGGTTGCGGAGGATTTGCAAAATCAAATAATCTTCCCAAAATGGCCAAAAAACTAAAAAAAAAGAAAAGTTTTTTTGTTTTTTTTTTGCACAGTTTAGTTTGGTTACAGGGTCGGGCGCCGCTCGCAAAGAGATAAGAAGTTACTTTGATTTTTCAGGATAAAAGGTCCGTTCATTATGCGAGCAACTACGGACACAAAAATTTTATTTCGCGTAATGAACGCCCCCCCCCCAACTTTGCATAGATTTTTCGGAAAAAAAAGTGAGTTCATTCCGCGAGTAAATACATTACGTACAAACTGTCACCCAACGAGTGTAACTGTGCTTTCATTCACCATTTTCTGTGGTTCTAGTTCTTTATCTCCTAATTGCAGCGGATAAAGATTTAGAACCAGAGGTTCAATCGGGATTAGAAATTCCACAAAGAAGCGTAGTCACATTTGCACTTGGAGCACATGGAAAGAAACCCAATGAGGGAGTGCAGGGCATGGGCTGGTCGTCTCTTGAAAGGCAACTACAGTATAGACCACTCACAACGTAACCGCTTATAGTGCAGGACCGGGTATAACGCGGTTTTTTTAAACCACCGGCTCGCCTCCCATAGAACTCCATGTAATTACATACCGCTTAAAATGCAGGCGCGCGAAGGGAAATACCGGTTATAGTGCGGTTTCTGGCACAGCCCGCCGACCGCGCCGACGACCGGAGCAGTGAGCACGCTTCCCTGTGCGACACTAGGTAACGGCGCGAGCCGCAAACGGCACTCGCGGGGCAAGGAGGTTGCTCGGAGAAGCGAAGAGAGAGGCTTCATTTGCCATAATGACGGAAGGACGCGCGCATGTGTCGTTCATGTGCGTGCGTCCCTCCGCTGCATTGGAAACAAACAACCAAAACGACAGACCAATCGCAGGTCGAGAAGTGTTCGCGCGCGTTGCATGCCAATCGCAGGCCGGCGGCTTCTGTCCGCAAACATGGCGTCGGTTGTGGCGTTCATCTCATCGTTCCGCGTAAAAACGCTATCCTTGACAGTGAATTTTCGTTGTGTGTCGCTATGATAACCCAGCACATACTAGAAGGGAAGATCCACCTACTCGTGCGGCGGTGTGGCGGCGCTCTCAAGACGGCAGAAACGCCCGTGTCGTCGTGTTTGTTTACTTCGGCTAAAGTGGTGCTTTCTAAGCATTTGTGTTTTCGAACATCGCCCGGATTTCTTATTTGGAGCATTTCATGCCTGTGCTCAAGTTCAAGGTATTTTTCTGGCGCGTACCGTATGAAGGATGCAAATTTTCACGCATTTTCATCTCCGGAGAAAAGTGATTAGGGTTAGCAATCCTGAACGCTCGCAACGTCCGTCCGCAACCCGCGACGCCGTTAAAAGGCTGCGCCAGGCAAAAGCCACTTATTTCTTTCAAAATGTGTGACACACTTGAGAGAGATGTGTACTAGTCTGGTGAAATAAAGTCTTTTCTTAAACTAAGCTTTATTTTTCATCTAATATAAAATAAATTCTTTTACAAAGGTAGGTTGTCTCATGGCATGTATTTTGGCCTGAAAAATTGATGTTTTGGTTATAACGCGGTACCGCTTATAGCGCGGATTTTCGCGACTCCCGCGACATACGTTATATGCGGTCTACACTGTAGTAAGTTGAAATTTGAACAAAGGTTGACCGAAATAGATGATACGCAGTGGGCACGGAAGGTATTCAAGTATTTATACATGAAAGGTTTCAACACAAAGTGGACAAACTGAGCCTTAAAGCTAACATTTAAATACCTAACATAGAATACCGAGCATGCACCCTCACTTGAGCAAGTGCCCCCCCCCCCCCTACATCTTCCGGGAATTTCCCATTTCTGTACACGATCGAGCAAGCGCCCCCCTCGCGAATCGAAAAAGCTTTATCGACCAATCCCAGCAATAACCAATTCCAGATACATCTAACTTCCTTAAAATTCCCGTCGACTCCTTACAAAACAAGTTTGACCTCCTCCTTTTTTCCTCCGACAGTACGAAATCAAGATGGCTTTCGTGTAATGTGACAGGCATCGTATACTTTGGTTCTTTTGCGAGCGTAATAGACACTTTCTGTACCGCAACTATGTCGATCGCTCTAAATTTTGTTTACTGGAAGGAACAAATTCTCAGTTATTGTGAGACTCTTATTTCCACAAAGACAACAGAAAAAATACCACAGTCAAAACGAAGGGGTGACGGACACTTTCAAAAAGTGTCCCTCGTCCCTTTGTTTTAGGTGTGCCATTCTTTCTGTCATCCTCGTCCAATAACCAACACGCTCCCAAGTTTATTGTCTTATTTCCACTCTGCGGTCGATACATCCGCCTCGGCCCAAGTAAGGACGGCGTTCTCGAAAAATTAGGATCTCCACGGCACATTTTTCTGTTGCACTTTCTTTGCCACTTGTTTTTAGGAAAGCCCGGCCCTGAACACTGTATGCATAACAAACTCCTTGCAACGAATAAGCTACATTCGAGAGCGACGACCCTCGAGCAACCTGGCGTTTGAAGTCGTTGTTGCCGGTTATCCCAAGTTCTACCCAAAACTGGAGGAAATGCTTCTCCATCTTCTCGAGAGGCGAGAACAGCCCGCAGCAAAAGAGCATCGCCGGAGGTCACGGAGTCGCCCGCCAGACTCTAAGCCAGGGCCGGTTGGAGAGTGGATGCGGCTGCTCCTCCCTGCGGTTCAAAAAGGCTCCAGAGGGATTTTGAGGTCACCCGACCGTTTCCGTAAGGACAAGGTACCTATTAGTGTCGAGATGTTTCGGTGCTGCCCTCTCGTGGCATCTGTTCAATTTTGTTCACGACGCTTTAGTTTCTTTTTTGCTCAGGAGAGCGTGAAAGCGCGGCTCCTGGCACGAGCCCTCGGCATTGACGGTGCTACGACAGCACTTTGTTGTCGGCCATTTTGTGGTATTTTTCCAGAGGCCTCGGCGTAGCTCAGTGCTAGCGTGCTCGCTTCGTACGAGGCGGGCCCAGGATCCAATCCCGCAGGTGGCTGGCCATCTTCATCGAGGGTTTGGCAACATCGACGACAAACGCCCCACAACAACTAGAACGGACGTCACTTCCAGTGGTTGGAAGAGACCATAACAACCGTGAAACATAAATATTTAAATCTTAAAAAAGCACTCGCGATGGCACGATCAAATGTGAAGAATAGAAACGGCATAAAACCACCAAAGTCGACAGCGTCATGTTACTCTCGTCGATGAACGCAGAATAATACGACACGCCCGTCCAAAAGAAAAACACAAAGCATTTTCAGTTAGGCACCCGTGGGGGGCTCAGACCCGCTCAAATAGTTACCCTAGAAATCTCTTTGCTACGGCAAAGGAAATTGGGGAGCCCGGGAAAACCCCCTGGACCCAGTTCCAAAAGCCACGCTTGGAGCAATCTCAATCCTCTCCAGCCCAAAGCCTATTTCCCGTTTGAGCACCAGAAGGTCCGACCCAATTCCTAGGTGAACCTTCCTTCGGAGGTCTGTAGGCCTTACAGTATTTTCTCGCCAAGCGCAGCATCGAAGCTGGGAGGGCTTCCCCGGCCATCGACCAATAGGTGTTCTAGGAGCTTCAAAATATCGGGGATCCCCAAACTAGTGGCTTTGCAAGGAACCAACTGGGCAGTGGGCCTACCTGGGGGTGTGGTGGGCGCCACGGGCGACGGGAGGGGCAACGGGAGGGGCGACGGGGCCCCCTGGACCCTCTCGGCGCTATCCTGGCCGGCTGGGCTGTCGGGGGGCACGGGGGAGGGCACGCCGTTGGAGCGCCGCTGGAAGCGGGGAGCCACTTCCAGCCGGCCACCGGGCTTCTGCACGGGCGGGGAAAAAGGTCACTCGTCGGTGGTCCCCCTCCTACACCACCCGGAATGTAGCTTCCCCGGCATTCCTGCCACTCATTGGACGTCACAGCTAGCACGTAATCAACCAACGAGATACAGTGTAGACCGCATATAACGTGTGTCGCGGGAGTCGCAAAAATCCGCACTATAAGCGGTACCACGCTATAACCAAAACATCAATTTTTCAGGCCAAAATACATGCCATGAGAGAACTTACCTTTGTAAAAGAATTTATTTTATGTTAGATGAACAATAAAGCTTAGTTTGAGGAAAGTCTTTATTTCACCAGATTAGTACACTTCTCTCTCAAGTGTGTCACACATTTTGAAAGAAATAAGTGACTTATGCCTGGCGCAGCCTTTTAACGGCGTCGCGGGTTGCGGACGGACGTTGCGAGCCTTCAGGATTGCTAACCCTAATCACTTTTCTCCGGCGATGAAAACGCGTGAATATTCGCATCCTTTATACAGTACGCGCCAGTAATACCTTCAACTTGAGCACACGCATGAAATGCGCCAAATAAGAAATCCGGGCGATGTTCGAAAACACAAATGCTCAGGAAGCACCACTGTAGTCGAAGTAAACTAACACGACGACACGGGCGTTTCTGCCGTCTTGAGAGTGCCGCCACAACATCGCCGCACGAGTAGGTCGATCTTCCCTTCTAGTACGTGCTGGGTTATCATAGTGACACACAACGAAAATTCACAGTCAAGGATAGCGCTTTTACGCGGAACGATGAGCTTCCACCACGCCGTCTACGTCGACGATCACAACCGACGCCATATTTGCGGATAGAAGAAACCGGCCCGCGACCAGCATGCAACGCGTGCGAACACTTCTCCTCGACCTGCGATTGGTCTGTCGTTGCGGTTGTTTCCAACGCAGCGGAGGGACGCACGCACATGAATGACACGTGCGTGCGTCCCTCCGTCGCTACGGCAACTGAAGCCTCTCTCTTCGCTTCTCCCCGCTTCTTTGAGCAACCTCCTTGCCTCGCGAGCGCCGCTTGCGGCTAGTAGCGCCGGTAGCGCCGTTATCTAGTGTCGCACAGGGAAGCGTGCTCGCTGCGCCAGTCGGTCGGCGCGGTCGGCGGGCTGTTCCAGAAACCGCACTATAACCGGTGTTTCCCTTCGCGCGCCTGCATTTTAAAGGGATCATGAAATGATTTTAAAATCGAATTTCATCCACCGCACGTCGTAAAAGGCGTGAAAAGGAACACAAAAACACAAGACTAGGGAGCCAAAAAAAATTATTTGCTATAGAACTTTTAAAAGAAAACTGGACTCTTTTGCGACTTCTTTCCTTCGAAAGCTCTGCCTTTTCACTACGATGCATACGCAGAATCGGTGCACGTCAGCCGAATCCACATCGCCTATTGGGTAAGAGCCTACCTCACCAGCACCGCGATCGTAAACAATAAATAGCCGGCGAATGTTTCCTAAAAGTTTTGTTAAATAATATTCAGATCCACATTTTGTAGCATAATTAGAGATGTGTGGCGAAAATTGCCAAATTTGATAATGCTGAGAGCCAAGCGCCATCTATCGTGTGGTAAACGAAGCAACTACTGCGCGTGTGGTAAACGAAGCAACTACTGCGCGTGCGCAGTAGGGCAGGGCCAAGTTCAGAACGGTTATTTCCTTTGGTTTCCTTCCTCTCAAAACTCTGACTGACTGAACGTTTATTTTTCTACGTGTTCATCTCGCGCGTGCCGACTTCAAGCAGCAAGAAAGAAATGTACTTAAAACAAACCACGACGAACAAGAACGCTGGATCCACAAACACCCGAGAAGAGCGACAACAGCCGCGAATCCCGCTCCGACGAAACTCTCAGAATATAGGCCTAGCAGGCACTCCGACTCGGCGCAGCGTTGCTTCGTCGCAAGACCGTCTGCCTACGACCGGCTGGCGTACTGAATGGAATATGCCCGCGCTACCCTTGTGGACCCTTCCGTATTATAGTTTGATCGCTGACCTCAATTTTAGGTTAAGAGGTGAGGTCAATCTCTTCCCCTTGTTTTCCGAGGCAGTGTTGACGAACACTCGTCGAAAAGGGACCCTCGTCGATCCTCTCCTTGTTTTGTGTGATATAGAGCTGAAATAAACGCTGTATGGATTACCTTCGTAGCACGGTATGTACACTTTGTTATTGGTATGCCATTTTTATTCTGACAGACTGCACGTCACTGTCGAGCTGTAACAGTTCGTGGGAGGTATACGTGCAATACCGGTCCAACCTTTCTTTGCCGAGTGTCGCGTCAGTATCGAGTTGCAATTGTAAAAGATCGGTCCCGAAGCGCTTACCAACAGCGCGAATACAGCACTTCATCAAACGCGCGCGTCCGCTCCGAGTGTGAACAGGTATTTACGTGGCTCTTGCTGACAGTTCAAACGTATCTTTTTTAACGTCGGCTCGCTCCTGCATCTCCGAGACCGCGAAAAACGCCGCGGCAAATTGTTCCCATCTGCACTTCCCAACAGGCATACCGGCGTATGGGACTAGTCCCATGCTGTCGCTGTAGCGCAACGTATCTCATTGAATTTCGTTCAGCTGCGATGCGGCGATGAGAGGCGCCGATTCAGAAAATACATCGGTGACATCGGCGCAGTAAAATCCACCGGCGCACCCCAACTCGCTAACGCTCCCATCTCCTACTGCAGAGAGAACTTCCGGTTCCGGAAACATTGTACGTCACGGCTTGTTTTGCGGTCAAGAAAAAGTCGATATTTCATTAATTTTTTGTGTAGAAGTTAATAAACCGAGACGAAAACGGATGCCTGTTCGGCATTCAGTGAACATTGACGGTTTATTGTAAAAGTTACGTGGAAAAAGTAAAAAAGTCATTTCATGGTCCCTTTAAGCGGTATGTAATTACATGGAGTTCTATGGGAGGCGAAACGGTGGTTTAAAAAAGCCGGGTTATACCCGGTCCTGCATTGTAAGCGGTTACGTTGTAAGTGGTCTATACTGTGTTCGCAAATTTACGGTGATGAGACTGGTTCGAGCTATTTTGGAGCAGCAGAGAGAGGAGCATGCCGTTCATTTTCATGCAATCTGGATAATATGTTAGGATTCAACTAAACTTGCCTTCCCACTTCCATGCAACCTCACCAATAGCACGGCAGATTTGCTTAAAGACGCAACTATCCGTTCAACTGCGCCTAGAAACACCAGGCACCGCAATGAGGTGCCGATTGATGAAGGACATTAGAAACGGCTGCCAATTATTGTTTTAGGTATGGTACCACTAAAGCAAATAGTAAATTCCACTACAATAAAGTTGCATTAGGTTCATTTTAAGCACGAAAATTATCGTTCAGTCAAGCTCTACAGGTTAATCTGCAATAAAACTGCAAAAGGTAAAAAAAAATGTACATATAATACTTCTTTATTTGTTTTCTCCAGGGAGCAGAGGGGCAAGGACAAAAAGTCATTCAGCAACTTCACAAGGTCCCTGCCCCGATACAAACGGCAGAGAGGGCACTGATGACATGTTTCATAATCACTCATTCAAAATAATGAAACAACAAAAACAAATCTACACACATACAAGAAAAATCAAGCAGTGGTCAACCAAAAACGTGTGGGTTAGAATTTGTTCGTCAGAGGCAGTGAACGTCATAAACAGGGGTATTATGTGGGACTTGGAGACAACTTCAGGTATGACGTGATATTGAATCAATTCATTTAGTGAGGTAGATTGTGTCTTGTTTTGTTGATTGATGTCTGTATGTTATACGAGATGTCGACAAAAACCATGGTTCTGCATGTCATGTATTATGACTTTAAAGAGATGCTTGTTTAGATTTTAAAAAATCTAATCATTAAGGCGTTGTTTGCGAGTAGGGCAGATCTGAAAAGGAAAGATATATTTAGGATGTTTAACTGCTGAAAATAATTAGCAGTGCTCTCATTCCATGCGAGATTTGCTAATATTCTAATTGATTTTTTCTGTGCACGAAGGAGGTTAAGAATGTTATGTTTCCTAGCTGCAACCCACATGAGATGACAATATGTTAGGTGAGAAACAACAAGAGCATTGTATTGTCACGAAGGACAAATGATGAGGCGGCGAATAACTGAAGAAACTAAACGTTTAATGGGGCAAACCTATGCCCAAAACAAAATAGAAAAAGGTTAGCGTCCTTTACCAATAAACTAGTTGTACACATACTCAACAACAAACTTTACGTATAGTAAAATTACTGTCTCGACAGGTTTCCTATAAAGGAGCGCATATTAAAGAAAAAAAAGAGGAACCAGCTGACTCAGTTGTGAGTTAGCACGTGTGTGTCCTGTCCCTTTGAGCGTCGTTTTGCATAGTGTTCAACGATCGCAAACTAGTCCAACTGACCCCCTTGCTGGAGTTATGTCCAGTGACGTCAATTCCAGACCTCCGGGGCGTTAGAATCGAGAGAGGGGGACTTGCCAGCTGGGGGAGGCCCCTGTGCCTGCGTTGGACGACGGGCTGCCTGGACGCCGGGTTGAGGGGGGCGCTGCCGGCGGGGCGCACGGGGCTCCCCGCCTGTCCGTCCAGGAGGCTCTGGTACGACGCAAACCGCACGCTCGGCGCCTGCCGTGGTGCCGGGTGCCGGCCGGGGCGCTGCGAGGGGGCCACGTCCACGTGTGGGTACAACGAGCAAACCACAATGACGCTGCCTGTCAGCCGACCGGTGTGTTTGGTGCCCTACCCATGTGTGGCAACAAATGACCTCACAACCAGTCCCGCTCGTCCACGCAAAAACCCACCATCGCTCGCGAGTGGCCCACAAGCGCCGTCCGTCGTTCGACCAGATTCAGCGAGGTTCGGTAGCGCCATCTGTTGTTCTGTGACAACGGTAAGTGTCGCCTTCTTTGATCACTTTTATATTACGCAAATTGGCCGCGCATGAATGTAATTTCGTTTTTTTTCTTTAGTGTGCTTAGAGGTCGTAGATTGAGTGATGACAATACGAGCATCTCAAAAAGCACTTTAGTGCTCTTTTAAACGAGCGACGCTCTGGAATCGACGACACTTGGGCCATCTCCTTGCTTAAGGGCATCCTTGCCGGTTAACCCAAGCTTTACCCCAAATCACAAATGACGGCACAGCCAGCAACGAGGCACGAAAACGTTGCTCGAGGTTTCTGACGACGTATCCAAAGCTCGGGAAGTTGCTTTTCGGGGTCTATTTCCAGCTGCATCTGCTCTGCACTTGGCTATAAAATTGCAGCGCGCACGAAACAACTCAGACCCAGCCGTCGATACTTCAGGTTTAGCAAAGTTGCTGGCCCTGGAAATAACCCAGCTTCACAGACGAGAGTGATGCAAATAAAATTAACAGATCCACCGCAGTACACCATCACTCCATCTCAGATTGTCAGCATGTCTCCAAAACTAACCCTTGATATCAGTCCCGCCAAAGAACAAGTACGACGGAAAGCAATAGAAAATGCCGCAGACGGCAAAAACAGATTGCAGCGAGTCAAAATTACTAGAGACGTGCACCTGTCTATCTACTATGTGTAACCACCGTCACAGATACAATATATAGAAAACAAAACACTTATAATAAGGCAGAAGCGGGCATAATTCATTTGTTCAGTGCACTCTCCAATGGCGTTTATGTCCCAATACAGAAGGGTAATACTAGGAGCGTGGCAAAGCAAAGACAAAGTAGTACAGAAAGAAAGCAGACAAAAGGTTTTGCCCCAATGAAGTTGGAGAATTGCTCGTCCACTCGTGTTTTTCTTTGTGCAACTCCCAATACCCGCCTTCTGTCTAAAGTCAAGAAGGAACAGGTACCGACATCGCGAGATACTTTTAAGCAAATATTTTTGCGAAAACGATCGTTTATGAGGAGGTGCGACCAACTCAGACCTGAAAAGTTTCTTTTTTCGAGGGGAACTCCAGTCAATATTCTTCAATTTGGGATTACAACTGTTTTCAGCTAAGCCAGTGTCGTCGAATTACGAGGTATACTTTTTTCTTTATATCGCGCCTAGTTATATAAATATTGCGGTAGTTATATAAATATTGCGGCTCAAAGTTTGGTTTTGGGCGTCTACGGCAAAACCCAAGCTACCGTATTTATTCGATTACAAGTCAAGCTTTTCCGGAAATGTTGTCAAAAATGAAGGGTCAACCTCCAATGAAGCTATCACGACCCTAAGGAGTGCATAGAGCTAACGAGTCACCGAGCCGGCATCACCGTAGCGCTGCTTCCGATTCCAGAAAGCTTTTGGCACACGAAAACCACCGAAACAGCAGCAGCCAGCAGGCCGCTGCTTCAGCGCATCCCTGGAGTGCTGGGTTTTGTGCCTGTCCGCAACTGCCACGGCCGGCGCCGCTCACGCACTCCCCACGCGATGGAAGGGGGAAAGGAGGAGGCACCTTGCCCCCTTCCCTCCGTTGCTCTTCCCCTGGTGGAAAATATGAAGGTTTCACCGTGGCGCTTCTTGTTGCACGCGGCGGCTCGTAGCGGTGCTAGTGGCTCTATATTTGGCTGATTGTCGGAGCGCACGTATTCACCTTCTTTTGTTTCTTGTTGTCGCCCTTTGCAGCGGTGTCAGTGAGGTATTATTGGAAATTTGTGCGGACGTCGACGAAGCGGACGAAGCTCCTGACGACCATGACGTGTCAGGAAATTCCAGGCATTGCACCCTTGATTTAGCAGAGAGCACCGTAAATAAAGATTTGTTTCATTCTTTTAACAAAAATTACCCCCTTCTTTTAAAAAAAAAAGTCGAGCTTAATTTTAATTACATTTTTTTTTAATTCTCGGCGAGTTTAACACAAAGGCATCAACCCATATTTGTGGTTGACTTATATTCGAGTAAATACGGTATCTGCAAGAGAGATGGCAACACCGATCATCAGCTGTGCGGCAAGACGCAACATCTTCGTAATGCTGCGGTTTGCGGTACAACCAATCAACCACAGCTTCACCACGACGCGATGTCGGGGGGTGCTGCACCGGTGTTCCTCGACTAAAAGGCAACCCGCTTGCCACCCGCTAAAGAGCAGCTGGTAGCATCTTTAAAGTCAGTTTTAACGGAGCCTTCACTTTGACTTCATATTTCGTGCCACTAAAGCAATGCCAGTCATTTAGTTTAATTTCGTTTTTTGCCCAAGTTTAAGGCACCATTTTGCGCGGAATTATGGCTGTCACGCACCATATGAAAAGGAGTCGGCGAGCACTCGAGCAGTTCGAACAAACGTGCCCGACCTCTCGTCCGCCTTCTTTCTCCGCTTTTCCTTTTTTCGGCTAGCGTGAATGATTTGCCACATTCTGTTCCCATCCTTAGCCCCCCATTTGTTGAGTCAACGCGCAGTAATGGTTACGGTGTCTCCAACTGGTGCGTTTGACGACGCATCCAAAGTGGTCCCCAAACGCCAACAAATCCCAAAGGCCCGAGCGTCACCCTCTTGTACGTCGCCGGCAGTCGGGCGTAGAGTTTCCCAAGAAAGGAGGGAGAGAAAGCGAGCCGCCCCCAGAAGTGTCCCGCTGGAGGGCGAGCTGCAGCAGAACGGGCGTCTGCCGGGGGATGTGACAGAACGGGCGACGCTTCTGCGCCAATCGAGGGACCACTTTCTCCGACGTGGTCAACGCACCAGTGAGAAAGGGCAGTGATCAAGGGAGGAAGAAGAGCCCACCAGGAGTGGCTTGTCCTTGGCCGCCGCCTTCTGTCCGGCCACCAGGTGGGCCATGTGGGCCGTGGACGGCTTCGTCACCGCCTCCACCACCGTGTCCCGGGAACGCCTGCGAGGGACTCCCCGGTCTCCCACAAAGACCTCCACCGTTGCAGCAGCAATGCGCAACGCACCGGGCTGCCTACCAGCTGCTTGCCTCCCCCGCTTTCCCCCGGAACGTTTCCATTAAATCTGCCAACCGTTGCTCGAGAAGGGAACGCAATGGTGTTCGGGTGCGTCTGATCTGGTGAAACGGACGCGTCAGAATTTCCCGCTTCGGTCCATTTCGGCAGCTCGACCGATCTTCTGACGACTTCCCCGACAGTCCCCGGACTTTCGCGGATGCTTCGAAATTCCCTGACGATTCCGGATCACAATAACGTTGTGCGGACAAACTTAGAACATACTTTATGAATCAATGGGGCGAATGTCCTCTCAGAAACAAAGCCCCGCCGAAGGAAGGAGTAAAATGCAAAAGCTCGCCTCGACTCCACTTTCTGGTAACGAGGCGCTCGTGTTTTCCCCGCAAGCCCTCTCGACATATGTGCTCGCTCGGCTGGACCGGAGGCCACAAGGAGACGCGGACGTTTCTGCGCCCGAGCAGCATTCGGGTCCCCGCCCCACTCTTCCATTACGAGCGTGCATTACGGGCACACGCTACAGCAAGTGGGGGATGCGAGACAGCCTGCCACAGAACGCTCTTTCGATTAAAACAAAAACACCCCCGACACTCGGACACGGTCAAAGACACCTTCCAATAGGTTCTCGAACCCGCTCGAATATGTCAAGTGCCGGCTATACGAATATTTCTGCGCCGTACCATTAGAGGTCTGTGTTTTCGGCAAACTGGATGGACTGAAATAAAGGGATGCCGAATAAATCTAGAAAAAATAGCTTCTAACCAGAAAAGGTGAGAAAGCCATTTCGGGCCCTATCGCTTAGTTGCCCTTCCACGTGGTGGCCGTGCACTCAGCATGGCCACACTGAGCCAAGTGCTGCCATCCGACGGCAAGGTTTGTGTACACGTATTTTGTGTACACGTATCGCAAACGCACCGAGTAGCACCACAAACGGCCGTGTTCTAGAGACAAATGTGTCTCTCTAGAAAACGCTATTGCACTTTGCAGCTTGGAAATAATTACGCCAGGTTAATTGCATCCGCAAGGTTGACTTCTCCAATTCAGACATCCTTCTGGGTTTGAAGATTTTTGAGTCGAGCCTCGGGAGGTTCGCATCACTATATAACGTTACTAAAGAGAAAACGCAAACAAATGGACCTAGTCACAGTTACAGCTTTCTAGGTGCTGCACAATGTCCAGGTGTGCTGCACATACTGGCCAACGCTTGAACTTGCGACGTGAAAAGATATCGATATACTTTTGTTTTGCGTTCAGCTCAAGGCCATCGCGTGTAGCACTCACCGCAAGGCTAATCAATCTGAGCATCAGTCGACCTCATTTTGAGAAGTATATAGAAGTTAGTCACAAGTTACTCCAAGACGTAACTAAGCTGCAGTAATTGAAACCTAATCGCAAACTTGGAAAGCTACTGAAAGTACTTATCCAAACATTTGCACAAAAGTACGCCGAGCTTTCCTGCAACCAAAAATTCGTTATGACTGGCTTTAAATTTTCTTCACTGTGTTCCAAGCGCTTTTATCCAGGGGTGAAGTATTTTAGGCTTCTCGGAAGAAGGGGGTGGGAGCCACTCACTTGCGAATGGTGGCCGCATTGGGAATGCTCCCGATGAATGCCTCCAGGGTGTCATAGCCAAACTTCTTGTACGGAATGGGGCTGCCAATGAGCACTGTATACTCCTCTGGGGAAAAAACATCCAGTACCCTAGATTGCATCGGGTTTTGGGGGGAAGACACAGAGTGCGCCAAAACTGCATGGAAACAACACTGAACATTTATCGACTGCGCCCATCCAACATTTCTGGTGTGGTAAGCGTAAAATAAAGACACTTTTAAAACACGCATCACTATGCGAGCTACGTCGATACCCTTTTTAAAGGGTAAGAACTACAGTAAAATACCGACCAAATGCCCCCCTCCAAAAAAAAAAAAAATTTTTAAATAATTTGACTATAGATATAGAGGGGCACTTATTTGGATTGGGCCCAGAATTCAAGGTGGCATGACAGCCTGGAGCTGAGCTGGTTGGTTCAACACGCTTCCTTGAATACCAGCTGAACAAAGAGGAAAAGCAAAGTTTAATGAAAAACTCAAGTTTTTCATTAAAAGGCTGATAGTCCAGCAGTTGTTTCCTCCTCTTCTTCGCGTTTGCTCTACGTTCAGCTGGTATTCAAGGAGTCAAGATGGGGGCCACAAAATGGCGGCCAGTAAAAGTGAAAAAAGCATTATAGCCTGCATTGTTGAAAACGTTTATTTACTTCAATCAATATTCAACCCAAAAAACAAATCCTGGCATTCACCTCAGTCGCTACCAAAGCCACAAGACAATTCCTCAGATCTAAAAATGAGGTCCAGGCCCTCGGTCCGCAGCTCGTTGGGGTTTTCGGGGACATTGATGTCAGACGGCCGTTCGTGAAGATCGCCCTCCTCGCCGCACGTCTAGAGTTCCTTTCGCACTCTAAGAACTCCTACAAGGTATCGTCAACCTCTTCACTGAAGACCCTCGCTCAATTTGCGTCCTACCTTTGACTTCCCAAAGCTGTGTTACAGCAAAAGTTCGTACTTGTCCCACTGGCGGACCCTTTTACGGTCCAACTTGAAATGGTGAGAGGTCAGGTGGACGTTTTTGCCATTCTTCCAATGCCAATCCACAACTTGGAGTTTCTTCTGCACCGTATACGGATGCTTGGCGAACAAAGAAAACATGGCTACTAAGGAAATGGCGGCGATGACTGGTGGTGCATTCTCGTTAGGGGTGTTGCAAACTTTTGTCGAACCTCGATTTTAACTTGGAACCTTGAGGTTTTATTGGTTCGCCGAACCCTAGAACTTTCACTAAAGTTGGAAGAAGTTCGACTTATGGACAGTGTTGCCCGGCTTCTACACACATATCTCAAATTTTGGAAAAAATATATTTTAGGAAGTACTTTATTTTATATTTTATAAAATGAGTACAAATGTTTACACCCTACAAAAGCGAAAATATGTGCTTTTAATGCATTCGTTAGTAACGTGAACCAGTGATGCCAATACACCCAACAAATATAGCACTTTCCCTCCGCCAAATGGAGTCAACTGATTTTGTTGTTTTCTTCATTTTCGGCATGTGCACAAAATTTTATTTTCAGTCGTACCCTTTGTCGAACATGACATTGAAAGTTGGAAAACGTCTAACTATCTAAAACTCAAAACTGGGCAGGTTCGTGACAAACTCAAGTTCTCATAGCAACCTCTTGGATTGGATATGATTCAATATTGGCTTTGTACACTGCAACAACCAAAAAGCCCAAAACAAAGCTAAAAAAAAAAAAAAAAAAAGAATGCCTCAGGGACAGGCGCAGCGGGAGCGCGCTTGCTCGATTGTGTACAGAAATGGGAAATTCCCGGAAGATGTTGGGGGGGCCCTGATAGTGATGGAGCGAATCTGCCCAACTTCCTATTTGGCAAAGTTCGGCGAAAATTTGGTAAACGTCTGCGAATGCACGAAAACGTGACGGTGCCATGGATTGCAAATGAACGCCATCATACAGTGTAGTATACTACCAGCAGTTACAGCGAGGTGTGGAGTAGGAAATATGATAACTGTGTGTTTGTCAGCCTTCGAGAGTGTGGTCCTCTTCATTATTTTCTGCCTCAAGGACAGAAAATCGACCAGGGATTGACACAGTCCACTGTGTAAGTGACAAATGATGCGGAACATTCTGAATAATGCGATTTTCATTTAGTCTTTCCAGCGATATAACGAGGTAGTTGCAACATTGACTGACAAGTAATTTAAGGCACTCCTCACCTTTATGGCAATCCTGTTTTAGGCTCACGAGTAGTATGTGCCAAAACAAAATACTGCGTTTTAATTAGCGTTTTTTTTTTTTTGTGATTTTGATCTATCAGCATAAAACTAAACACAGAACTATTATGCTCGACGTTGCGCATCTTCCCAAGAAAAGAAGTGTGTCCTAACGTCAGAAACCGGCATTTTAAAATGAAAAAACAAGTCGTGAATATGGGACGCACACACAGGCATGAAAAGCTGAAGTGACATAAATCGAAAACCATGCATATTTAGAATAATATGGTTCTCTCTTTTGGTGAAGGCTCAGCAGCCATTGCATTCATTTTTGTGCACAAAACGGCAACTCAAAGGGAAAGTAAGAACACAGTGTTATCGTCATTATTTTAACAATGTACACACTGGTTTTGCCTGCCTGCCTGTACGCTTGCACTGACGAGGCCTCAAAACTAAAACTCGCATATTGTGACCGCACCCCGCTACTACCCAACCTTGCTGTTGCACCACTTCTGCAAAAAGAGAGTGTAAAAGTGCCAACACACAAAACTTACACCGATACAATTACATCGTAAAATATCACCTTATTCAGTAATAATTGTCAATATGCATTATAAAAAACCTAAAATCTTTTTGCACCCAAAAAATAATTTTAGGTCTAGCAACAATGCATAGCCACTATCATGCATCCATCCATTTGCCGAATGTTGAGAGAAGTTCGGCAAAACTTGGGCTTTGCAGAATCCCAAGAATCGGCTTCGAATTTTTTATTCGCCACAAGTTTGGTCCATCACTATAGTCGGTGACAGGTCAAGAACGAAGCAGAAGCTCCTCCCATCCCTTTCCACTTGAGCAGACTGAACGGTGGAGAGGAGGTCGCCTCCTCTCCAGCGTTCGCTCTACTAAAGTGGAAATAGGTGGGAGGAGCCTCCACTTCGTTCTTGACTTGTCACCGACTATCGTAAGAACAGGGGTGGAACTCATCGAATGTACTTGGGAGCAGCCACAGGAGCAGCTGCAACTGCTGTTTTGCAGCAGGCTGGGAGCAGCTAAAACTACGTTCGGGAGCAGGCTAGGAGCAGCTCAAATCAGTTTTCATTGCACTTTAGCTTGTGTCTTCGGGAGCAATTTCAATTGTGCTTAGAACCACAGATGAGCATGAGTGTTTAGGAACCTAGCTAGATGGGATAACAGTGTAACAGGTGCAAAAACTTGGCCGTAGTGAGAACCAACAAGCAAGTACCACATGTTTTTGAAGATAGTGTCCTTGATGTTTTCTGAGTGGCTTTCAGCTGCTCAAAATGCGAACCAGCACTGTTTATAGCACGACCCACACCTGCTTGACATAGTAACTATACGTGCGAACCATGTGACAAGCGGAAGCAACGGACGTGCAGTTGCGCGGAGGAACAGGGCAACAAATTTTGAGTTTATCCTATTGCACAACTCAATATCAAAGCACCAGACTACGATTAAAGGAGTTATCATAATCGAAGCGATGAGCCAGAGCAAGATTAAAGTACGCCGCACAGATCTAGCGCTCGCGTGAGAGCTGCTGGCCGGCAAGGATTCGGATCGAACAGCGTTTCTGTTCAATCAAATCACGATTTATCTTGCAGGAATGTGGTTCCAACTTCTAACGGTGAAGCACTAAAAGGAATCTTTTGCTAATGTGTTTTCATCTGGCTGACGTCCGCAACCCAAGCCGCAGAGCCTCAGGCTATCTGACGCTTAACGACTCGACCTCACCTCGGCCGACTTGATTAACCGCTTATGGTTGAAGAATAACAGTCCAGTCGCAGGTGATGTAGTGCTTCGAATCCAACCCCCGAGTTTTTTCGCGTGCTTCCGACTCGGGATACACAGGAAATATGAACGGAACAAAAAGTTACAAGGTCGACCAAGCTAAACGCACTCATTGTTGCCAATGGAGTCAATAAAAACCGAAACCAAGACAAAATATAATTATTTTGGCGCACGTTGCGCGATTTGGAGCACAATGCCGCAAAGTATTGGCTGTAGCGCTGTTTCCGCAAAATGGCGCAGGATGGCGCAGACAAATGCGTCTGGCACAAAATGGCGCAAATGGCACAGCCATTCCACCCCTGTAAGAACTACATGACTCAGAATAATGTGGAAAGTGACCAAATGTTGCCTTTATGAGGGTGCACAACCCAAAGGCTTCGAATGACAGTGAAAAGCTAGACACCCTGAAAATGTCAGGGTGTCTAGCAAATTCCTGACTTTTCCAGGTTTTCCCTGACAATTTCAGGTGAAATTCCCTGACCACTGTAGAGGCGGTTAAATATATAAGACCATTACAACACAAGGCATTGAGCACTGTGAGGATCATTTTGCACGGGCTTAATCCATGTTGCATATTCCAAAATACTCGGGTTCGTCCAGTCCGGATTAAAATAGCACTTTCTTGCCGCCGACATCGTCAGTGAAGGGGCCACTTCCGGAAACACAATAAAAACATGACGCTCAACCATACACGTCAATAACCGAATGGTTGCATGGCCACCAATGCACACTTTCGGTTTAAAGGAGCGGTGCAACGATTTTAAGATTATAAGAATTTGCATGTCATCATTTTTACGTTATTTATCGTGTCCCAGAGAATACGGAAAACATCTTGATTAAAAAATGTTGCGATTCCGCTGCATAATCGTAAAGCAAGTCTAGCTTTTCCACCCCCTGCAGCCGCGAGTGGCAGCCGAAGGAACTACTGCGAAAAGCTTACGTGACCTCGCTCGGCTCTAAGCTGCAGCATACCGCCCGCTAATGTATGCAGAGAGGGGGAGAGGAAGCGTCCTCCGAGAGAGCACACGGGAACCTCACCTCGAATTACGTCACTAGGAAGGGGACCAGGTGTGACCCTGAAGGCTGGGAGTGAGTTGAGGGGTGCCCGAAATGACAATATTTACCTTTTTTTACACAACAACTAGGACACGCAGGCGAAATCGGTTTTCTGTTCTTTGCTTTAGAAGTGTCAGGGGGCAACTTCCAGAAATGTTTGACCGAAGTTCGGAAATAGTTGCACCCTCCCTTTAAGGTTTGGATTAAATTACGGTGTGCGACTTTCCCATTTGTTACTAAATCTAGTAGCTCTAACTGAATCTAGCCTAGTGTCGTGTCCTAAATCCAATTCAATCCAATCCAAGGCTTGGACTGGATTTGTCGGCTCTTCCCTTTGCATCGGGTAGCATACTCTACATCGGGTGAGCAAAGCCTCTCGTTCCGCACTAAGCAAAATTTATTGCTTATTTTTCTGCCTCCAAGACGTCGAGCCTTTGCTCAGATCACTCTATGGCGTTTCCTGCTCATCTTCCCTGACTGGGCTCGCTTTTTGACAATATCCCTGACAATTCCCTGATTTTTCCCAGTAATTAAAATTTCCCAAACAATTCTCGCTTTTCCCGGTCGCTAGGCAGCCCAGCATATGCTGCAAAGTGCCGCACCACCACGAGCACTCGTGCACTGCCACTCATTTTTCCGAGAAAGTTCTTGGCGAATGTTACGTGCGATTGGTCACCGACAAACGGCAATTTTATAGGAGCCGAGTGAACGGCAAAAGGCCCAGTAAACGAGCGCACTTGGACCCGACCGAGTTGAGAGGGGAACCCACCTTGCAGCCTAGAAAGAGGTATGCCCCCTTTTTCGCAGCTGAGCACAGAGTGAAGGAAGGTAGACACCTCTTCCTTGCTGCAATCCATCACTGCCTGCAAAGAAACAAAAGGGCCAAAGCCAAGCTCTCCGTTTGCCCGCAATGCGACGCAACATGCACACACTTATGGCTTTAGCTTTAATCGCGAACCAACCAAAGGAAGGTGCAGGGGCAGACAGGGAAAACAAAATGCGAGGTCCAAGCAAAATCTATATCAACTGGACAAGACATTGCGCAATACCGTCACAGTCTCCGTAATTTTAACTCGCCAAATTCTATAGGCCCCGTCGAGCACGCACAATTACGAGGTTCCCGCAGAACCGACATGTGCTTCCATCTGAAGCGTGCCTTCCCATAATACGCAGAGGTCTCTCTAGACCTTTTCCATGCGGGCACCACCGTCTTAAATCGTGGACATTCTGGTATGCGGGAAAAGATGTTTTGCTTTCGCCACACCACTGCGAGAAGCTCACGTTTCAATTGCGACGGTCTATCAATCTTGTCTTGGCTATATTTATTTGTTCCAGGTTGTCCTTTTAGAGCGCAGCCCTTAGGTGCCCATTCCAGGCTTGAGCGGCGTCGCCGTCGGCGTAACCACGAGTAACCCTCGTAACCCTCGTGAGGGTTACGAGGGTTACTCTTACGAGGGTTACCCTCACGAGGGCCACGAGAGTTACTAACACTCGTAACCCACACGAGGGTTACGAGGGTTAGTTACCCTCAAAAGGGTTACCCTCACGAGGGTTATGAGAGTTACCCTCACGAGGGTCGCGAGAGTTACCCTCACGAGGGTCCTAACAGTTGCCCTCACAAGGGTTACTAGGGTTGCCCTCACAAGGGCCACGATGGTTACCCAGGTCACGTGAACCCTCCGGGGTCACGTGGCCTGGGAATACCCCTCCGAGGTCACGTGACCCACCCGTTGACGTCATCGCCACTGGTGACGTCATCAGTGCCGTCACTAATGACGTCACCAGCATCCGCATCATCATCGTCATCACCGCTGATGACATCATGAGTGACGTCACTGATGACGTCACCGGCATCCGCATCGTCATCGTCATCATCACTGATGATGTCATCAGTGACGTCACTCATGACGTCACCGGCATCCACATCGTCATCATCACTGATGACGTCATCAGTGACGTCACCGATGATGGCATCGTCACGTGACACCCCAAGGTCACGTGACTCTCACAAGGTCACGTGACCCCCCCCCCCAAGGTCACGTGGCCCCCCCCCCGCCACCCGAGGTCATTTGACCCACCCCCCTAGTACCCCTCCCTCCTCCTCCTCAAGAGCTGCGCTCCAATTCGGCGTTACAGGGAGTTGTAAACGGCTTTCATTTTTTCATCCCGCATACAGGATTTGTCAACAATGGTAAAGGAAAAAGCTCTATAACAGCTTGGGAGAAGAGCGTGTTGGTTTTGGTCATGGATGAAGAAAGAATAAAACAATTAAAACAGGGACAACACAACCACATCTTTCACATGAAAGACGTGGTTGTGTTGTCCCTGTTTTAATTGTTTTATTCTTTCTTCATCCATGGTCTATAACAGACCATATGCAACCTGTTCTGCTTATAATGTGTATGTTTGTATGTTTGTGCCTTTGCCACTGATCTCTATTGTAGTAAGCTGGATCGAGGCTAGTCTTGCCAGGGTCACCAACAGCACCGGCAGTGATCCCTTGACACCAGCTAACGCATGGGACTCTTTGGCAGAAACGGGGAAAACTGGAAGTTCTTTCCTTAGTAGGGTGTCCCCGAGGATGGAACATTTATCGTGTTTTCCGAGGATGACAGGTAATATTCTAAGAGCCAATATCAAAACTGGGAGAATACCGGTCTTTTTCAAATAATTGTTTCCTGGTTGAGGGTTGACTTTGATAGGCGTAAATTGTGCTGCGGTTTAATGAGATGAGGGTTGCCGAGAGTCAATGTGGAGTCGTTCGTGATCTCAAAGTCATCGGAGATCAGCAGATGGTAAGCTAGAGGGCCTTTACTGGGGACATTGTTTCAAGCGCTTTTACAGAGTACTTCTGCTACAAGCTTTTGCTTGGAACTGCAGCGAGCACTTCTGTACCAAAGTAAAAATTCTGAGTGTGTCGTTCCTTTGTTGAACGTGTTATTTATTCGGCAACTGAAGCAATCGACGCCGGCACAGTCAATGGTGCTCCGGCACATTTGATTTTTTTAATCGGCGTTCGAATGCCGATTTAATCTTTAAACACCCGATATAATCGTCAGAGCAGAGCACATCATAAAATACTTGCCTCCGAGAACAGAATACATGCTTTAATATTCTCACTTTTGTGTGCTCCTGCCATAGTGTATTGCCTGGTGTCAAGCAATGGCCGCCAGTGGTGCCACCGACGGGCTCCTGATCCAGCCTACCACAATAGCAGTCTTGGGCAGTAACTAGTTACTAGTAACGCGTTGCCGGTAACTAGTTACTTTTTTCAGTAACTTGTAACTGTAACACGTTACTGCTTAGTGGAAATTACTTGTAACTGTAACAGAGTTACTATTTTTTTAGAGTAACTGTAAAAAGTAACGTCGTTACAGTTACTTCTCAGATTTATGGGAACAGGACCACCAAATCGCCTTGCAACTCGTGAGCAGTCTTGTGTAAGTTACTTTTAAAAAGTAATTCATTACAGTTACAGTTACTTTCAGAAAAAAAAAAGTAGCAAAGTTACCGTTACAGTTACCGCGACAAAAGAGTAACTCGTTACAGTTACAGTTACTTTTAAAAAGTAACGACGTTACTTTTTAAAAACACACAAAAAAAACACAACCTTTAAAAACACACAAAAAAAACACAACCTAGATAGTGCTTCAAGACACTAAGATATAAGTGTTCAGTCACAAAGCACAAGCGAGTGCGTAAAAATAACTAGATATTTTTTCCTAAAATCTACACGTGGCTATATTCGGGTCGTGACTCGCGAGAAAGAACGTATTCACAATGCAAGGCCAACTTGACACTCGAAATTTCAGAACAGATGATTTGGAAAGTGCAAGGAATGGTTAAATTGCACTCGTTCACTGATATATTATTCATAAGACACTTGAAAGTAACGACAAAAGTAACGTCGTTATTTTCATCGTTACCTCAGAAAAAAGTAATAGAACTACAGTTACAAGTTACATTTTTAAAAAGTAACTCGTTACAGTTACAAGTTACCAAAAAAGTAACGAAGTTACAGTAACGCGTTACTAGTAACGCGTTACTACTTAAGACTGCTCGTGAGAGAGTCCCAGGCCCTGGTGCGGGAAGGGCAGAGCAAAAACTGCTGCAGGAAACGTCTGGAGCAGGCTGGAAAAAAATAAAAATAAAAACAAATTAAATTTTGTTTGACAGTGCACGGCGAAGCTAGTCCCGCCAACTGGGAAGATGGCGACGTTTGTGTCCGTACCAGCCATGTATGCCCACAGCGCACGGAGATGTAAAAAAGCGCGGCATCTTTAAAGCATTTCTCTTTTCTTTGTCCCGCCGAGGAAGCGAGTGCTTTCTGCAGAGGACAGTTTTTGGTGATGGTCGCCCCAAACCCCCAGGCTTACGGGAGTCTTCTTGCCGCCAAGCATATGTTTCCTTCCCCTCTAATTTGAATCGTCCACCTCCCAGATGCACTCTTGCGGGGTCTCGAATTCAGGCCCGTTTTCTCCCCCTTCCTTCCTTTTTTTTTTTTTTCTTTTTTTTTTTTTACAATTTAATTACTGGTTTTGCATCCCGTCACCCACTTCTCCCTTCTCGAATCCTTTCACTTGAGAAAGAGTATCTGCTCGAAACGTCTGTCGTTCTGCTTGTTTGTCTGCGTGTTTTTATAATTGAAAGACCGCCCTTAGCTGGGACCAGGGGCACTTGGCATCAGTTGACTTATAGATATTCAAGTCGTGGGCTTTCCGGGTGGTCTCTTGTATTTCAGGTGGTGAGATAGAGGAGCAAGTTCGATCTGGTTAGGAAGCGACGGAGGAAAGGCAACAGCCGTTTGGAATTCCACGCGCAGTGATCGACTGTACCTCGATCAGTGCTTATTTTGACGGAGGAATGTAGCCGCAACATTGCTCTCCAAGTTTTCAAGAAAAGCTTCGTGTTTTATGAAAGATTGTGGGCACGCAGTAGAAAACGATTTGACCGACGAGTGGATTAGAGTGGCATCAGAAGACATCTACGAAGCTGATTGCAAGGTAGGGCATACTATTATTGACTTCACATTTGCACGACTCATATTGCTTCAGTCCAATTTCGCCTCATAACAAAAAATTCGAAATTAGAATTGACCGATTGTAAACTGGCACCATGATTGGATATACACGAGATCTGGACGCGTGCCACTGTGTTCGTGTATACCTTATGGTGGTCGCTCTTATTTTAATGTTTTTTATAGACCAGCTATCTGCTACGCTAAAATTTTGAAATACTAAAGTCTCCTGTAATTTTTCCAACCAAGAGACTCCAGTTCTTTATCATATAGTGGATTTACTCGGATACTGCCTTAAATTATGATCTGAGCTATTCATAGTAAAAATTGAAACAGGAAGAACCAAATAGTATATTAATATATATTATTACAGACTCACTACCGTGAACAACACAATGTCTTATAAGAAATCTACGCTAATTTGAAGGCATATAAAAGAATGTTCATTTTGAATGTTTTCTCATTTTTCTTTGTAAAGTAATGACGAAGTAACAGCGTCACTTTAGAGAAGTAACTGTAACTATAACAAGTTACTCTTTCAATTTTGTAACTGTAACTGTAACAGGGTTACTTTTTTTACTTGAGTAACTGTAACTGTAACACTGTTACATTTTAGCAGTAACGTGCCCATGACTGCATAATAGAGATGAGTGGGCCATGCTCCTTTATGTTTGTGGCCACGCTCCTTCGCTCCTACTCCAATGATCAAGTATCGTACTCCGATTTTTTCTTGTTTTCGGGATTCGTGGCGCAGAAGCTCCGACAGCCACCCTGCACCAAGCTACAATCACTCACAGGATGAAACTTTTGGTTCTCCAGTGCCTAATTTTTACCTTAGATTTCAAC